AAGATTTTTTTTATTATTTTTCCATTTTAAATTATATTTTTTGCCGACTAAAATGAATTTCAATTAACTGAATTGAAACGTCGATTTAAAAGCGTAAAGTTGCTTTTTTTTTTTTTTTTTTTGCTTTTTCGGCCAAAGGGTAAAGATGTTAAACTTTTCTTTTTTCAGAATTTAATTTTGTCTATTTATTGATTAAAACTACATAGTTTTCAATATATTTAATTTAATAATAATATCATAAATAAATATCTACTTATAATAGTTACTAAATATTTTTGCTGTAGTTATTAATTAATACTTGGAACCTCCGTTTGAAAAATGAATGCCCCGCTAATTAGACTCATTAAAATCATTACATATATATTTTTTTCGTTAACTATTGTAGGCGGCTGGCCTCTCAAGCGTTTTATGTAAACTAAAACAGAACTCATTTTATTTCAACTATTTACCAAGCTAAAATTTTAATAATACTTTTATTGATGTTACTCTTTGTACTTAATATTTTGATTCGATTATATGATACGTGAAATTGCATTTCTTATTGTTTTTGTAATAAAACACTTGCCTTCAGCTTTAAGATAAAAGTATTCGTTGATACTGTTCACTTTTGTGAAAATACAAAACAAAAAAACACCGCCTCTTTATTTCTAATTTTACAAAATACTTTTTTTGGGCACTTAAAGCATTAGCTACTAAAATTCTGAATTAAAAGGCTCTTAGAGTTTTATCGTATTTCTTCGGTTTTTGTTGATGATCTGGTATAGCAGTTGAGAGTTGAGGGACAAAACCATTTTCTCCCTGGTTTCTGTTTCTGTAGTTGAGAGTGAGGGACAAAACCATTTCTCTCATAAAAGTTAAAATAAAATTTCCATTCAAATTTTAGGTTCTATTTCTGTTAATTAGTTAACGTATTTATGGGTTATGTTTCAACTTAATATTATTCCACGAATTCTGATCTCAGTTTAATTTAAATTAGCTTCCAATCTCGATATGGAAATTATGAGTTACAAAAAATATGATTTACAGATATAGCTATGGAAATTATGATTTATGAATAAAAATTATGATTGACAGTGGTAATTCTAATTTTTATTAATATAATTTAATTATTTGCGCTAGAAAATTGTACTATGAGTTACTACTTCAAAGCAAATTCTTGTTCAATTCAATCTTTATTAAAATATTACTAAATTATTAAAATATTACTAATGTGGGGTGTAAACGGAAAGCACATTTAGTAAATACTTATTAACTAAGCTATTGCGGTTAAGTAATAAAACTGTCTGTCTAGGTTTTGGTATAAAGTTGCCGGGCAACCCCACAAGAGTATGATAATTCATGCACATTCACAAGGTAGTTTATGCAGTACTTGCACTCATTATATTCCATCATCTCTGTCACAAAGTTCAAATATCCTCAAATGCTGGCTGAATACCATTAAACACCTGAAAGACCATCTTCCAAACTCTCGCAAGGCTCGTCTGCCTTCCTCTCACGTCTTCCGCTCTGAACAAGCACGTCTGCTTTCGTCCACGTCCACCGCTCATCTGGTACTGTGCTGGCGGCAACCTCATGGACCTTATAAAAACATATATAATCTTATAAGGAATATATATAATCTTATTAAGAATATATATAATTATATATAATCCTTATATATATATTTAATTTCTTATATATAATCTTTATATAATCTTGTATCTCTCTTATAAGGTCCATGGGCAACCTGGAAGGACGTCAGCTCCACGTATTCTGCTTGGGGGCTGGGTGTAACTTCTTATACTAATATGAGTTTAAATTAATGTATTATTCTTAATTATTTTTGTAATTTAGCACATTGTTTCTAATGCTTTCTATTTAAAGGTTGGGGACAAGGCTATCTCTAAGTTACTATCTTGGCTTTCAGTTAATTCCGAGGTGCACATATCCTCCCATGTGGACATTAGTGGCAACGAGATTGCTGATTCTTTGGCAAAAGCTGCTGGTTTATATCACATTTTGCCAAGGAACATTTGGGGAGTCTTTGCCGCCCAGATGGAAAAGAGTTTAGTGACCCCCATTGCAAAGTACCAAAGTCCTTGGTTGGAATCCCTAAGATGGCTTGGATGTAAATTGTCCGTTTCTTCAACCTCGAAACTCTTACCTAAGACATCCTGCAGTACATTCCAAACTCAAAATATCTACAAAAAGAGAAACCCTCAGTATAACCTACATTTCCAGCAGTGTACTCTAATGGGTCAAAGATAAACGAAGAAGTAGGATGCGCGTTCATAGCACTCCCCTCAAAACAAGAAACGTCAGAATGGAAAGGACACTTAAGAAATAACAGCAGCGTTTTTTTAAGCTGAGCTTTCAGCCATAAAACACGCTATTCTATGGGCTCATGAAAGGCATTTAACAAACGTTACTACCTACAGTGATAGCCAAGCGGAAATAAAAGCTGTTTATGATGCAAAAAACAAATCATCAGTAGTACAAGATATCTACGATTTAATATCACAGTACAATAGGACGTTTGTAAAAATAAAGTGGGTAAAAGCGCATGCAGGAGAAGCCCAAAATTGAAACGGCAGATGCACTTGCAAAGGATGCAGCTTAAAACTCATATTTACCATCGATTAGTGACCCATTCCCAAAATGGTATGCAAAACATATGCTAAGAAAAACTGCATTAAAGAAATCGGAAGCTGAATGGGATAATGTAGAAGTAGGTATAAGGCTTCTAAACTTCTATTAAAAACCCTCATATGATCCAATCTCATATAACTTCTTCACCAACATTTTTTTATCTGGACATGGTCCTTTCCCTACGTACTACTTTGCACGAAATCTGAGCTACTCAGACAAGTGCGTATGTGGGGTGAAAAGGAAGACCCAGAACACTTTATTTTCAAGTGCCAGCTCACAAAAGAGGTACACTACAAAGAAAGGACACACATTACGAATGAGTTCGTTAAATGCTTACTAACGATTCCTCAATCACAACAAAAGATTTCCTTGAATATAAAGAAACTTTTCTCATAAAAGAGAAGACATATGTCAAGACGCTATCATGTCTATATAAATACCGTGTATTATACAACTTACAAAAATAATACGAGATTTCAGAAATAATGCAAATGCCTGAAACAGGCTAAATATGGTAAGATGTGTTTTAAACAAAATAATTACATTGACAATATGCTAGTGCATTAGGAGATGAAAAAAATATTTTGTAATAATTATATCATTAAAAATTGTTTAATATAAATTGATGTAATTAGATATATTAATGTAAATGTAAGTACTATGTGATGCACTAATGTATGTTTGATGTAATTACGATATCTTAATTTATAAGAACAATGTGAAATTTCCGAAATGTTGCAACTGTCTGTGACATGATGAAAATGAAAGGAAATGTATTAACAAGATATGTAATGTGAAACAACAAATACCTTAGTGCCTTAGGAATACAGCAATGTACTAGGAGATGCACAAAATATTCTACGATAATTAGTCCTTTCAAAAATGTTCAACATAATTTGACGTATTTAGATATACTTATGTAAATGCATTGTTTGTATGATATACTAATGTATGTTCGAAGTAATTATCTTACTATATTAATCTGTCATAATCCAACTTTTGTTAATCGATTAAGTTCATTGTAATAATTGTATACCGTGTTTTTGTAATTGTATATTCAATACGTAAGTCTGGAATTAATGTAAAGTTCCTCTGTAAATGTCTTGTTAGACTGGCTTCTGATGCGGGCCAAACGAACGCCCAGCGAGTACAGTAGTGCGTCGGAATAATACATGAAAAAGTCACTGACGAAGTTCTGGTGCTCCGTCCACTTTTCCCTGTCCTTGTCTTTTCCTTCATAGGAGGTAACGGTCGCCGCCTATTAGGTGCCTCCATAACAAAATAACCACCGTATCTGACCTTAGGAGTGACCAAAGCCTAAAATGGCTAGTGGCCGCCATTAAGAAAAACAAGAACAAAAACTTGAAGAATGACTCCTATGAACAAGGGCAGAAAGTTTTTAAGACCTGCGCCTAGAGCTGCTCAGGCATCATCTGATCATATTTTAAACTTGTCTCGATTTTATCTTGGACGAGGTGTTTTCAGAACCTCTTCTATTTCTAGACCTTTCGGAGGTCGACTCACGGAACCCTTAGAACGATCAGATTTTTTGGGGGTGCCATTTGTTTATATTTGTAACTGTTAGTAGAATGTTGAATTAAGTCAGCTTGTGCACCAACTTCAGTGTCTTTTTGTAAGCAAATGCCCAAGCATAGCGTTAGTGTCGCCCGGGAGGGTGCACTTCCATAGATGGTTAGTGCAGTGGGGAAATGCCACATTTGCCCATGGCTATGCTTTGGTGCCCCCTGAACTCGTTTCTGTCTGTTTGTCCAATGGCCTGAAAGCTAAGGTTCAACTGTGTGCACCCAAAATTTTTTCTTCTTGCCCTTTGGCAGGATTATTTGTTTTCGAGTAGAAGACTCTAATTTAAATTCTGAAAATTTTTTATTTTAAACTTTTTTTAACTGTATTTGGCATTTTAAGTTTTTCTTTCCTTTACAATATTTAGTGTTTTCAGTTTTCATGCATTTTTGCCTTGCCGTGAAGTGAGAACTGAATTAATTGAATGAGAAATATATATCTAATGAAATGCGAGTTTAAATGAAGTGCGGTCAAAAATGTGATGATTTAGAAGGCCATACAATAAAATTATGTTGTGTTCACGTCACCACATAACTTACATTATTTTTTCTTTGTATATGTTACTCACATTATTTTTTTCTTTGTATACTCTACTCTCATTATTTTTTCTTTGTATATGTTACTTACATTATTTTTTTCTTTGTATACTATACTCACATTATTTTTTCTTTGTATACGTGCACGTGTGTGTGAAGAATATATGAACTACTTCATAAATATTGTGCAAATATGTAGTGTGAAATTTATGATGAATATCAAATTTATTATAAGTATACTTTCTAATTTCTAGCTTTCTGTGTTCGTGGTGGTTATGGATTACACTCCAAGACCTGGAGACTCTGAGGGACTGCCAGTAACGGAAGGACAAGAAGTTGAAGTCATCGATTCCAGCAGAGCGCACAAGTGAGTAACAATGACGCAATCGGTTTACACTTCATTTGCTTTAACTGAATACAAGATTTTTTCCCGAGAAAGAGGGACCAAATTTTCCTTTAACATGGCAACAATAAGCGGCAATTTAAATTCTGCCCATTTTTATGATTTTCAAAATCTAACGTTGGTCTAAGGTTTCAAAATTCACCCCCAAGGTTGTAGCGGCCCTGCGATCATATGTGATCATCATCAGCACAAAGAAGAAACTCGGTAATTTGAGTAAATTAGAGGATTGGGTCTTTTTTTTTTCGAAGCAGTTGTTGCCATGGTTGTGATGAAGGGTTTGGAGGGAAGGAAATGGCTTTGAAGAGCCTATGCTGATATATAACAGATTACAGTGATAGGCAAGAAATCTTAGATTGGTGTAAATCTCATTTGGCTATCGTTTAACATTTTTAACTGTATTTGGTGTTTTAAGTATTAATTTAATGAAAATGTTTTGAATTTTTATGTATTTTTGCAGAGTCAGAACTAAATTGATTGAATGAGAAATATATCCCTAATGTAATTTGAGCAAATGAGTTTATATGAACTGCAGCAAATATGTGTTTAATTTAATTATAAAGAAGTTATATGGTGTCTACATCAAATATTTTACAATTTGTTTTCCTTTCCGCAATGTGTTTTGGTAAAAGCATATGAACTTTAGGTTTATACATCTTCTTTAATATAAAATGAGTGCTTTTACTTGCAGTGCCAGAAGACCTTTCCAGTTCTGATGGAATGGACTTTTGAATCAGTGGATTTTCTTTCAGGATCAGAGATTTTCTTGACATCTACCCGTGTTCGAACAGTCTTAGGATGCAATTTTGCGACCATTCTTTTTCTTTTCACTTGAAGCTAGTCCGTTTTCCATTTGAAATTTAATGTATTAAAGGTAGCTTTAAATGCAGTAACCTCGATTTATATGTAGCTTTAAAATTTGTTTATAAACATATTTTTCCTTAGAAAGTGCATTTACTCAACCGTTCAGCCTATCAATTTTAGGTGTCATTTCCAAAATAAATCGGGCCCACCAGCGGTGACTGAATACTGGTAGTTCGCTCCGGGGTTAGAATCGCGGCGAACGGGCTGCTAGATTAGACTTCTTCGTGGTTTATCGCATGTATAACGCGTATACAAGCCGGTTTCCCTTAGAAAGTCCTCCAAGAAGGCATTTCTCCTCTTAGGCAAATAGTCGTAGTGTGCTTTGCCGTTGTTAAATAAACCAAAACAATAAATAAATAAATAAATAAATAAATCTCTTATTCTGCATTCCAGTCGAAACAAAACAGTAACAGATGATTGGTTACAGCCGAAAACATCCCGGCAAAAACATCGCAGACGAAAATGTCGCGGAGAAAACAACGCAAGGTGAAAAGGTCGTGCTACAAAACATCGTGGGAAAAAACATCGCAAAGAGAAAACATCGCAGTTCTAAAACATCGTGGTACAAAACATCGTCGTCGAAAATAAATCGGTTCAAACACATCGCAATTTAAAAACATCGTCGTCGAAAATATCGTGATAAAAAATAAAGTATCTACAAACCATCGCATGACGATAACATCGCAGACATGCTTTTTTCAGACATGCTTTAATAACTGTAAATGGATATTCCCATAATGATTCGTGAGCGCAAGATGGAAAAGAAGGATAATTTTTACTTTCATATTTTTTTATTAATTAATAAATTTTTGCTGAGAAAATAAAAGGAAACTTAAGCATAAAAAATTAATGCAACTTATAGCACTTAATAGAATTTTAAATCCGACATAGTTAACTAACAAAGACCATTAATAAATCATTTTTAATAAAGTTTTACTGGTAATTTTCATAAAAGTATAATCTATAAGTTGCATTTAATTTTCTATGCTTAAGTTTCCTTCTTACGTTTTCAGCAAAAATTTATTAGTTAATAAAAAATGTGAAAGTAAAAATTATCCTTCTTTACACACTTGCGCTCTCACAAATCATTATGGGAATATCCATTTACAATTATTAAAACCTGAAAAAAGCAATGTCTGCGATGTTATCGTCATGCGATGATTTGTAGATACTTTATTTTTTTTACCACGATATTTTTCGACGACGATGTTTTTTAAAACTGCGAAGTTTTTGAACCGCTTTATTTTCGACGACGATGTTTTTTTGTACCACGATGTTTTAGAACTGCGATGTTTTCTCTTTGCGATGTTTTCTCCCACGATGTTATGTAGCACGACGTTTTCGTCTTGCGTTGTTTTCTCCGCGACGTTTTTGTCCACGATGTTTTTGCCGCGATGTTATCGGCGGACACCCAGATGGTTGCATCGAAAATGCGAAATTTTTATTTCATACGCTAATGAAAAAATTTTAATAAAAAATTGTTTCTGTTAAGTTCTGACATTCTCTAATCCTTACTTATGCCACCAAACGTTTACGTATGGGGCTTTCTTAAAGTCTATAGAGTTAAAAAAATAGAAGATGTGCTATTGTTGTTGTTGTTACCAATCTCACTTTGCAGAGACATTAGGTATTTTGGAAGCAGAAGAAGTGAAAAACCGAGCAACGCCTTTGCCGAGAATCGAACCACGGACCTCTGGAATACGCGCCCAGTATGTAGACCACTACACCACGAAGGCATGTTAAGAAAGCGAGAGAAATACTTTATAATTTGTCTGACAAAGATCAGTACAAGCCCTTGACATTCATCTCGGCAAGGACTCAAATGTGCCTGTCGTTGAACATTATATAAGTAACAGTACGACTTTACCTCAGTTCCGACCCCCTAATTTTGAGATTCAGGACGGACGGGTCTGAGGGTCTCCTTCCCCTCTCCACCTACCGCCAACCTTTCGAGTGGACTTTCGGCTCGATGCATATTTAGCGTACCCCTACACCGCGCAGACACTATACATTTACAAAAATCCATGCCTTCTCAGAGATTCGAACTGGACCCTATCGGTAAGGCATTCAGCGTCGCTAACCATGTACCCATTACATAGAGATATGAAATGTAATAGGATTGGTTTGAACAGATCAGCTGAAAGAAGTTACCGAGAACTATGAACACAGATTTCATGTTATAGTCTCTTCAAGAGGCAAACGTTTTGAAAAACTCGAAATTTTTCTTTGATGCGAATCCTAGAAGGTTGAAGTAAAACGTCTTCTGTCCATTCAAAAATTATTACATTTTTTCATTGTCAAGTTGCTGTAACAGTTTTGCATTTGAGAAGAAATGATTAGGTTTGTCTCTGTTTGTGAGGAGCAGTCCACCTCCCAGATCACAAGTAGCCCTATGGTTTAATAAGTCTGTCTCAGTAACAAGTACAAACACAGCACACATACTAAAGCAGAATTCGTACTTTTGATCGATGATTATTGAAATAGTTCATAATCTTTCACGACAGACTTCTTGCCTTGTCAAAATGGGATAAAATTCTTTGCACGTTAAAAGTGCCATCTGTGATAAAATATTTCATTATATCTTTTAAAAGCGGGCACGTCTGAACGAAGTGTTTACTACATTCAACTTCATTGCAGCTGCCGTAGAGATCGGAGTTTTGAGGATTAAATCTTCTAAGGTTCGCAGGAAACTGAACATGACCCGTTAAAATTTGTTGTCAGTTTATGTCACTATATGTGTTTATTCTTTTTTTTATTGTTACTTATACAGTTTATATTTTTGTCGGATATTTTCCATTTTTCTTTCAATAATTTGTAGGTGTGATTCTTTATAAGGGTCCTGGTCTTCCTCCTCGACCCTTGTCGCTCAATGATGTCAATGTTATTTTGTGTAATAACTTTGGCCAGTGCATCCGTCTTCTTATTGCCAATAAAAACCACATTAACCCATCCAGTTCAAATAAATTATACACTTCCACTGTAGTTCAAAACAAAGTTCTTTTATATCTAATGTCAGTTCATTTGTCTGATTGGGCCATGAAAGTACCTAATAAAGTTGATAAACTGTTGGTATATGTACTGATTTTTCTCCTGATTTTTAGAAATCTTTTTAATTAGTAATAGAAATAGGAATCTTTTTAAGTAAATAGCAGTGGACTCCGCCTGAAATACTGTATTATGTTAATTTTAATTTAATTTATATTTCCCACAGTCTATCTCAGTTAAATAATTAGGAATGAATATGAACCCAAAAATCGATACCAAAATCTTTATACCTTCACTAATGAATCTGTTTGTTTCTAGGTGGAGAGTTCGGCTTCGTCAAGATGGAACGGAAGGAACGGTACCTTCTTGTTACCTCGAGAAAAAGACAACAGTAACGCCCCCTATTTCGCCACAGCTCGACCCCAAAACCCAAGCAACAAGAGCGAGAAGAGAGTAATAATTCTTTCCTATCTTTTTTATTAATTATTTTTAATTAATTAGATTTCGTTGCACATTATATATATAAATTAATCTGCATGCAGATTTCGTAAGTTATGAAATATTATTATTGAAAGCTAAAACAAAATTTAACCAATGCTGAAGCACTCACGGAAAAATTTATAGAGGTCGACAGAGATCTATAGAAATTCTTTACGAGATTTAAAAGTAATCTTTGGTAGAAATGTTTCACTATCGAATTCTATAAATACTTTATGAAGCTTTCGCAGAACAGAATTCTACAGAAACTTTGCTTTGTAAAATCATAAAGAAATTTTACAAAGCCTTTATGGAATGGTTTTCTGTAGAAATAAGATTTTTTTCAAACTTTAATTAAAACAAATTTTTAGTTTATGGGATACAAATGAGAAAAAAAAAAAAAAAAAAAAAAAAATATTCTTTATTCATAAGAGTTGAATCATTTTTCAAGCGAAAGTTTTGCTCTTTATCCTATAACTGAAAATTTTACACTTCTAAATTTATGTAATATTTTGTACAATTTTAAACAGCATTCCTTATATAATAAAAAAAATAAAATCTTGTTAAATAAATTTAAATCATAAAATTAATTAAAATATTAAGTTTGGGCTGTTGATTACAAAAGCTGAATTTGCGAATGAATGCTTTTGATATCATATATATATCTCTGAGAAGAAAAATAGTTTGTTAACTTTAATGAAAAGTAATTATATTTAAAATATATTTATTTTTAACTAATTATTTTTAAAATCAATACGATATTGTAAATTTTTATTAAAACAAATCATATCTTCTCTAAAACATTTTTTCCCCAATTCATGTGATATATCATTTCAAAATTTAGATTAAAAAGTTCTATTCCTAAAATGAAAGTTTTCCTTTCAATCCAAAAGAAACTGTTGATGATTTTATTATACTTTCCAACAATCAAAAGCTTAATCTAGAATTTTTTATTGAAAGTTAAAGCAAGTAAACGTGTTTAGAATTCATTAGAATGATGGCCTAATTTTCTATAAACTGGATGTGATATTTTCAATAGAATTTTGTTAGTTAATTGTATGTACACTGCGGGAAAAAAAGGGTTTACATTTCCCGTTCCACTGGGCCTATTAATGAAATTTAAATTGCGTTTTTCATGTCTCGAAGCGCGACTTGGGCTATATATTAGATTTATATATAACAGTGCTCTAACACAGGTATTTTGACACAAAATCGGGCTTTATTTGAAATGACATGCCAATGTTTTTTTCATATTTCGATTCTACGACTCCGATTATGAATAAATATTAAATTTTTTAAAATTTGGTGTGAAATCTATGGAGAAATTCAAAAATTTATCTTGGCGCATTTTTTTAAGCTTACGCCAAGAATAATTTACTTGGCGAACTTCTTAATATATGACAACGTATTTTCCTTTCTCTTTTTAAATTGTGCATAAGCGGAAGAAAGTCACATCGTCTCTACTTTCAAATAATTTTGACAAAGTGCCTAAACCACATTTGATGTTAGTACCGCTTTAACAAATATGCCAAATTTCAAAACGCGCCAATATATAAATTGACGTATATCTTCACGTAAAATAAGGAAAGTAAGTAAGTTGCTGTAAATTAAGAATCCCGCCAAGTGAATTATTCTTGGCGCAAACTGAAAAAAATCCCCCAAGACAAATTTTAAAATTTCTCCTTATATTTCTCACCGAAAATTGCAAAATTTAATATCTAGGTATAATTTGAGTCGTAGAATCGAAATATGGAAAAAATGGGTATGTTATTTCAGAAAAAATCCGATTTTGTGTCAAAATGCCTGTATTAGAACAATGCTATATGTAAATCTAATGCATATCCCAAGTCGCGCTTTCGAGACATATAAAACGCAAGTTGTATTTTGTCAATCGGCCCAGTAGAACGGGAGATGTAGAATTGTGCCTTTTTTTCTTTGCGCAGTGTAAAATATTCGGATCTTCAGAAAAATGTTTTGTAGAATCTCTGCCCAAATCTCAATAGAGTATCTACACTAACTTCTACAGAATTATCTATATAGATGCTTTACCGAAAAGTTTATAGTATTCTATAGAATTTATTTAACCTATTTTATGAAAAATTCGATCATTTTTCTATAAGATACTTAGTAGTTATAACTTCGATTGTTTTATAGATTGCTATTAGATATTTTCGTAGAGAAAAGCATATTCGTTGTCTTAAGAGAGTTTCTCATATAATAAAAACTATCCCTTGCCCAGATAAATCTGAACCGCTTTAAAAGGCAACACCGTTATCATTTACGATCGCTGTAAAATTCCTGATATAATTTTATTTTGCAGGGTCTTTTTACTCTGCTGATTTAGTTATTTTTTATACCTCTTCCCAGAAAAGTACTACAAGAGTTGATCGAGTCAGAAGAAGCCTTTGCCAGAGACATGCAGTTCGTTGTCAACAATTACATCAAAGAAATGGAATCCAAAACAATGCCTAAAGAACTAAGAGACTACAAAGATGTTCTTTTCACAAACTTCAAGGCCATCTCAGAATTTCACAACAAGTAAGTTGTTTATATCCAGTGATATATGAAAATACCTTATGGACAACTAGGAATTCGTCTTCAGTCTGTATTGTTATGAATTTTGTATATATGTAAATAATCTTGGCGAAATTATATGTAAATTGTAGTATCTCTTATATAATATATACATGAAAAGCCTCATGAAAGGCCAGAAAAACAGAGTTACAGGGGTAACTCTTTAGTATCCTTTAGTACTCTTTAGTACTCTTTAGTAAGTCCTTTTAATATTGAGGTAAATGGCTATCTTGCCAAGCTAGTGTAGCGGCGCCAAACTAGTAACCCAAATTTTTCGTTGCTAAATTTGGCTATAAATCACCAAAAGTCACCAAATTTGGTGACCATTTGACAAAATTTTGGTCCCGTACTTATGCACCTGTAACTCGTCCGATCCCTATGTAATTAACTACTATATCTGACCCAATGTAACTGTAACTGTCTATGTCTTCAAGCAATTTTGAGAAATGAAAGGTACCGGAAATTTCTCAGCGGACAGGAAAAAAGTTGATGAGACCGGATAGAGCTTCACGTATAAGATATTTTCTCCCTCGCATTCCTTCTTGGTGTAATTGGAAGCATACTTGACGCGTATTCGTGAGGTCCAGGATTCGAATTTTGCCGAGAACATAACACATTTTTACCGTCTCATGCTTCAAAAAACCTTATAAATCTAAAACTGGCGCCCGAACTAGAAAGTTGTAGACCAGGATTTTGCGATTGGGTCAATCCTTCTAAGGTAGTATTTTCGGTATTTTCTCCCTCCTTTCCGCATGTTTTTGTGGTGTAAATGGAAGCATAATCGACGCGTATTCGAGAGGTCCAGGGCTCGAGTCCCGGCGAAGGAACTGCAAATTTTCCGCGCCTCCTGCTTCAATGGCCTCTTGCTGACCACCCCGCTAGCTGAATTTTATTTAAAAATGTATTTAAAATAACATAATTAAGCAATAGGTTTGCGTAATAATTGACTTGAAGTGAATTATAATTTTGAGATGACATAATGCGATGATTTGTTTTAGAATGTTAACAAATCCTTTTTATGATGCTTCACAAAATGTTATTTTAATTTTTTCATCTAAAAATGTAAAATGTTACGTAAAACTAAATGTAAACGATCTTTTATTTACTTTTCAGTGTTCTTATGAAAGGGATTCAGTATTATGCTGACGATCCCGCTCGGCTTGGTAAAACATTTTTACGACTGGTGAGTAAGGAATTCTATCCAAATTATTTATTCTAATTCAGATACACTTATATCCAAATTACTTATATTTAAAAACACTTACATTGCATGTATACAAATCACTCTAGCATAAACGAAGTTTTGTTCGCACAGATAAACTCTGTCATAATTAATTGCTGATAGCTGTTTTTAGTTTCGTTAAACTCAGTTTAAATACTCTCCTACTTTCTCTCTAATTAATGACACATCGTTTCGTAATTCACTATCATTCGCGATTCACGTCGCATCATCACGACTTTAAGTTGCTAGTTTAGCATAGGTCAGGGATGGGAAAAAGGTCCTCGCACTCGTTTTTGTACGCAAACTACCGAAATCAGCAGCACGAGTGTGCATCTGGTTTTACAGTGTATGCTAATGCTAGCCGTGAACCTAAACTGAGAACATTAGATTTACTAATTCAGAAGTCAAACAACAAAAATCAGCATTATATTTTCAAATTTTCACAGGACTAGTTTCGATGGTTTTACCGAACCACCATCGTCAGCTGCGAAAGCGCAAATGAACGAGATCCCAACACTGGCATTACAGCAGTTGCAAATTTAATCCGCTTCTACTATTTTCAGCATCGCTAGAGCTGCCTGGAATCCAGCTATCATCTTCTCGGCTGTATTTTTGGCTGTCCTAATCTTTTCAATATGCGTGATGACTGTGCTATGTAAGCTCCTAATTTTCGGATCCTGCAACCAGTTGATTGCAGCGGTCATCTCATCAGGTGGCGGCTGTATATTCCTTTTGGCTCTGGAGCTATAAGTCGGTCTTGCTTTAGTCACTTTAACATCAGGTTTTGCAAGTTGCAGGAAATCTTCAGGGGTGGGTAGTTTCATCTGCTGGCTCTGCGGGTTATGTTTCCGTGTAAGCTGTTTTTTTTTTTTTTTTTTTTTTTTTTTTTTTTTTTTTTTTTTTTTTTTTTTTTTTTTTTTTTTTTTTTTTTTTTTTTTTTTTTTTTTTTTTTTTTTTCAAATCTCTTCCTGTATTCGGGACTACCACGATACGAACTCATATGTAATTCTCCACAAAACAGGCAGGTAGGTTTTTCTTCTTTCAGCGTACACTGATTACTGCGGTGACTTCCTCCACACTCAGAACACTTCTCTGGGTTAGTACATAGATGTTGAGAATGCCCAAACTGTTGACACCGAAAACGTTGAAGTCGCTGTATAGTTCAATAGGTTCCTCTACATTCACCATAGATCAAGTAGTGATGAACATTATAGACCAATAGAATCAGATCTCTTTCTGGCGTACTTGTAAATTTTTGGTTATATAATAATTTAAAAACAAAGTTTCTACCAGGAAATGTTTCTACCAGGTTTCCCCTTCATAACAGCCTACAAATAACACTAGTAACTCCAAAGATCTTCATAGCCGTGTCCACATGACGCACTAAACAGACGTTTTTGGTCCGGGATTAAAAATATTTGCCCACCCCTGGCATAAGCATTTCAAGGCTATTTTCCCAAATCATGACATATAACCATGGCAACGACTACTGCAGAGAAAAGATCGAATCTTATAAATTCATGAAATTCCTAAATTCTCTCTATGCTGTATTGACGACACACGTTACGATAGTAAATGATGTGATGATCGTTACGATATTCAGTTGCTTATTTCAAAGTAACTGCCTATAGAATGCGTAAATTAAAAGAAATAAATAACGAGAGTTTAATAGCTTGTATATATAATTGATTGTAACTCATATCTTGCGGCGAAGGAGCCGCTATGCTAACAGCATGAGTTAATGCCTGATTGGCTGAAAGAATTTGCAACATTTGTTTAGTTATTTTCAAAGACCGCAGCTAGTTCCATTGCCATCTGCTGTTGGTAAGTGCTCAATAATTAGCTGCTTATAAGATCATTTATCACGTTTGAGAGAATCTGATTACGACACTTTCAAAGCAGTTGACGTAAGTACTAAAAGCTTTTTTACAAAAGTAATTGACTTTTCAATGGTAAAATTTAGCTTTTGTTTTGATTTTGTTTAATTTGTTGTAATGAATATCTAATGTCGGTTAAATTTTAAAACGTTGCTTGAGTGTAAGCTGATAGCAGTGAGAACGATAATTCGCCGACTGTAAAAAAGAAACTCAGAAACTCTGACTGAAGTATTAGGTGAACACAAAGGTTGGCGCACGAAAGGCTATACCATTTGTTTTGTTTGTTACGCATTTATATTTCATGGTAATCTTTCTCATATATTAAATACATAATTAACTGTTAATTATCAAATGCATAATTAACTTTTTGAGCATGGAAAGTTTCTTTAAATTCCGAATTTATTCAATGTGTACACCATTTTGTTTCGCAGACTCTTGCAAGCTAACCTATTAGTCACAGCCCTCCGGCACTCGTCTTCCAAAATTTGTACAGAACAATTGCAAGACTGCAGCTTAAATTGCGCTACATTTACAGGCTTTTTTTTTTTTTTTTTTTTTTTTTTTTGAATACCTTATCCTTTAAAAAAATTCAATAAAAAGAAATTACGTGGGTTTCACATCGCATTCGTAACGTGGAAGAAACCGAAATGACTTTAGAAATGAAATGAAGTGTGAAAAGGTGCCATTTTCAGGTGTGCGGACACTTGATGAACTGGGTCGATTCTTTTCCAACACAGAGCCAGGGATTTCTAATTATTGACATAATCTGCGAATGATCTGTTTAGAGGAAGCCCGTTTTGTACCAAAGTGTTCACGAAAACGTCTTTGTGTCGCCACCAAATTCTTAGCTTAGTAAAAAGTATTACAGCTTTCAACTTCTGTTCAGTACTCAAGGAGTCGTTTTCTGCCATCTTATAAACTACAATTTCGGAGCAAATTAAAGTCTAGTATTCATCTGTCTTGATATCAATCGTATCTCCTATAGAAGCATTTTTTTAACATTTAGTATATTATATCAAGCGTCTTGTGGGATGATTGAATGATACGACGACAAGTCTGTACTTTTCAGAACAGTGTAAGAAGAAGAGTTGCAAAGCATGCATACAAAGCATAAATTATATATATAACTCTTCTGAAAGACCAAAACGAATTTTTAAAATTAAGTTTTAAAAAAACAAAGAGACGAATCTGCGCATATGCTGCTAAACCGAAATTAATAAAATTCAAAAGGAAAAGTAGGAATTAAAATGAAAAATTATTATTTCTTCTTTATGAAGGTCTTAACCAATTCTTTCTCCATGAAAGGAGCGACCAAAACGTTTACGTATATGAAGTTTCTTTTAATTTTAAATGTACTTCTTTTGGTTACTCTTTTCCTGGAGAAAGAATTGGTTAGGACCTTCATAAAGAAGAATATAGATGTAATGTTGTACGTTTGGCAGGATATGAAAACAATCGCGTTCTAGTCATAGCCGAAAATACTGCTGCGTAGATGACTGGAAATTGTGTCAAAAAGTTAGCACTAAAATTATGATACAGTGCTCTAATGTTTGAGAAAGAGATGGCTTCTATTTGATTTTCAAGTATATTGGCGCGAGATGAAACCTGCGGTTTCACCAAAATGTAGCCAAACTGATAACAAGAGGGAAACAATGCGTAGCCAGCGGCTATTCTGAGCAGCGACAATGGACTACCCAGAGATATACAGATAGGCGATTCTCTAAAATAGGGAGGGGATGGCTGGTACGACAGTTGTACCACAGCCAACGTTAAAGAAAGTCATTTTCCCGGTACAAATGCTGTACTGCCGGTTTCAGAAAGTTAATAGCTTTAAGTTTTATGATATGATAGTAATAAATTAAAGAAATACTTTTAAAGTGATTGAGGTTAAATAAGATACATGTGCATAAGAACCTCTTTAGCAGAGAGGTGCTTACGTTTAAATTACAACCGCTTACGGTTGAAAGAAATAATAATTGCAGGATTACGGGACAAAGAGAATGACCCAGAACGAAGCTGAAAGAAAATCGAATTCGCTCAATCCATGGAGGTAGGAAGTAAGAAGGAGTCGCCCTAAACAAGTTTCTCCGTACCCTGCTCTGAAGCACCGGCGATCCCTACGTGGTGACCAAAACATTGGTCATTTACCATTGAGTTCTATGGGATTTGACGCGTTCGGGTGTAAATATTTTGTAATTACGTCGTAAATATACATATAAATGTATATATTTTCTTTTTCTACTTTTCTACAACACTTCAGAGTCCTAAGTATGTGAAAACAACATATTTTTAAACAACATTTCATTCTGAACGGAATTAAATGCTATACTTTCACAGGACAGTTTTCTCAGAATGGTTTAATTTGAATGAAATATTTTCACAAGTTTTCGTTAATTACATTAGAAAAAAAATTAAGGTAATTCGATTTTATTCGGTTAAGGTACAAAAAATTAAGATCAAAGTTTATTGTATTATTAATATTAAAATTATGCATTATTCTTTTCTATTTATAGAGCTTCTTCCTAAAATACTTTCTTAAATATGACATGATTTTTTGGCTTCTTTTTTAAATCGAAAAATGTAAGTCAATTTATAATTAATGCTCTATTCGGTTAATTTTAAATTAGAGAATTATTAGGAATTAGCGAAATACTTAAATAAGTATTTCGCTAATTCCTAATAATTAAATAGGTATTAAATAGTATTTGACTTTCTCTGAACATTTCTGAAAGGGAATAAAATAAGTTTTTTTTTTTTTTTTTTTTTAAGTATTATTTAAAAAACTTGTAACTGAGTTATTATAAAATGTAAAGGGAATAATTCTTTTAATTATACTTATCAGATTTTTTTTTTTACCCTTCATTTCAACAATACATATTCCAAAACTCTTTATTACGTTCTTAAGTGCGCATCTCATAGCATTTGCTTTACAATACCTTTTAACAGATTGCTTTCCAATACGAACAATTCTTGCTTAAATAGTTTTATAACGTATTTGTCAACAACAGGATTTCAATTTATGTTTACAATTCAATATTAAGGTTATTATATATTTAGATAACATTTATAATCATTATAAATTAGATACATTTAATCATTAGATTTCTTCACAGTACTTTCACAGTTTTTTATAAGTGAATAAATTCTTCATTTCAAATACATTTATAAATAATTTAATGAATATTTAAGTATTTTGTCAAAGGCAGATACATGCTTTTTGCAAGCACATGCATAAATACCCATACATATTTCCTATTTATCATTTCCGGCATGTGCAAATCTTTAATTTCTGTGCATTCACTATATTTTTCGTGTAAAGTAATTTACACTAATTTAGCATACACGCGAAAGTTTTACATAAAAAATATATATGAATATAATTTGAATGAAAATTATAAGTATTATTTTTAATACCCACTCAAAGGTCAGTTTTTCTTCAAAATTCCTCCACGATGGCATCTCTCTCTTTAGGCAGATAGCCCTTGCATGCGTTACTCTATTTAATAAAAACTTAATCTGACCTATGTGCCTAATTACAAATATTTTAACATACATAATTTTTTATATTTACATTTAGCCATCAAGTTTCCAAACTTTTCAAATCTTCTAGAAAATAAAATTTTGGCAGATCTCTTTTAGCAATTTTCTTAAAATCTATATTTTTGTAGTGCAACAGCTTAGAATTTTATAAAACAAATTCATAATCAAAATCGCTGTTGTTAGTTATCGAAAAATAACCAAGATGTGATTTTTGCGTAAATGTCAGTAAACTATACAAATTGCTATTATCCATCCCACTATGAATGTTTCTTTCATGCGAGAGTGTCCCTTTTTCGATTTCTATGGAACTGTCGTGTGTCGAAATACTATCAGAATCTTGTCAAGCGAGCTTCTGAATGTAAACAAATATAACACCCCGTCTGGTGACCCAAGCTTCAAAGCAGTACTTCACTTCTAGCGCGGAATGGCCCCTCCTCCCTTTCCTACCTACATGGCTCAATCGGGGGGCAGTGAACGGGTTGAGTGATAGCTTCGAGGCGATTCGTCCCCCTAGCAAACCCCAACGGATATAAAAAGTGGCAGCGCATTTCGCGACATTAGTTTTGATCTTCCACAGTCCGGGCCAGAGCTCTAGGCTTGAAAGATAATTCTGCAGGCCAGAGATTACCGTGATGGTGCTGGAATGTTGAGAGATGATGGCTGTGTCTTCCGCCTATATGGCTAGATCGACATTAGGTGATTCAGGAGCGGAAAGATCCGATGGAAATTTAGACGAAGCATGACCAGCTTGATAGTAAAATATCATTTATTTTTAAATGACAAATTTCTTAGGTTTAAGTTTAGGAACGGGGAAGACGGGAACCACACCTTTACCATTAGGTTAATCGTCATAAGTGGTAGAAGATCAGGGGGTGCTAAACGCGACCTATAATTTTAGACACACAATTGCATTTTAAATAATGGCAAATAGCTAGCAGACACGATTAACAATATTAAAGTTCAATATATTGAAAGTGTAGTACAATATATTAATCGCACAATTAAATACATTTACGTATCCGTTAACTAACCCCCAAAATATAGATTTATACAATTTCTATAAAAAAATAATTAATATCTAAAAAATATAGATTTATAAACTTTCTGTAAAGTATGAATAATATATAAAAAAATGTAGATTTATAAAATTTCTGTGAAAATATAAATAATATAAAAATACAAATAGATTTATAAATTTTCTATAAAAGAATATTAAAAAATAAATATAGAACATTTTTATATAATTTTTATAAAAAGTATTTTCATACAGCGTGCATATCAAAGAATTTCTGTAGAGATTAATTAGCCTTTATATAATTTTCCCGTAAGTTTTGTCTCCTAAACTTTTACGTTTGTTCAGAACTTTTCTATCATTGCTGTTTTGAGGTAAATGTGCGAAATGAATTATCTGCTCAGATACTTAAAAGCTCAGATGCTTCGTTACTACTATTCTCTGCTTTTTTCAGATACAACTATCATTTACAAAGAGTTCTTTCTATGAGTTTTCTAATACATACGTACACAAAAAAAAGGGAAAAAAAAAAAAAAAAAAAAAAAAAAAATTCAAAGAAGAAACCGCAATAAAAGAATAACCTAAAAAAACTCTCGATCGAAAGAAACTGTGAAGAAAAAGAATTAGAGGTAATGCAAGACCCCCATTTACGCCATTTTCACTCTAGTTTAAAATTAAAGAAAAAATTAAAAAAAAAAAAAAATCTTGGAACGCATCCCCGTTAATTGAGGGACAAGCAAAAAAATACGTGGCGCACTTTTTTTACCGCTCCGCTTTCAAACATTTTGTCTTCAAGTCCTAGATTTCGAAGTGTGTAATCCAATATTCGCCGACGCACGAATTAATTGGTATTTATTTTATTCTATTATCTCTTTTATAGGAACGCGACTTTGACATGCACGTTTCCTATTGCAGAGATGAACCAGAAGCACAAGCTCTCCTGCAATCTGGGCCTCTCAAAGAGTATTTCGATGTGAGTCATTGTATATGTTATTATATCTCTTGTTACGAGTTTTATATACATGTAAATAATTTTAGTAAAATTATCAGTGAAATTCAAGTGGTTTTCTTTTTTTTTTTTAATAGCGTAACATGAAATTCTTAACAAACAATGCTCTGCCGAAAAAATTAGAATACAGGGCAAGCCTATTTAACATTCAGAAAATAACTACTTCGCTAAATTGACGAGATATCGCTAAGCTGGCGAAGGTTTTGGCGACTAATTTTTGCCACCAAATTCGGCAAGAAATCGCCAAAAATCAACAAACTTGGCGACCCTTTGGCAACATTTTGTTCCGGTCCCTGCCTAACTGTTATAGGTATTGTTGTTGAATAAATGATCACTATATGCAGCTGTAATCGTTTCCGGCCTTCAGATGTAACTTTGTATGCCTTCCAGTAATTTCGAAAAATGAAATTTAATAGAGATTTCTCGGCAGCTGGATGACAACTGTATAAGACTGGAGAGGCTCTCAGTTGTTAATTCAGAGCTGAATTCGATGTATTGACATATCTGTATTCGCTTCGCTCTTTAGATGCGCTTTACATTGCGTTGTGTTTAACGTTCTTAGCAGTTTAAAGTGCAATTATTGATGGTAGTCTGTGATGCAGAGTTGTAGGAGTACTTTTGTGGAAAGTTCCAGAACTGTGAAAGTGTTTCTTTTGGTAAAGTAAATTTTATCAAGCTGCCCTCAGTTCTGTGTGCATTTAATCTATTACGAAACTGTACGCTGGCAACACTATTCAGTATTTTGAATATATGTTTTGCTAAGATATTTTATTCAATTCCAATAGAGCTGTAACTTAAATGGAATTTTTGGTGCAGAGATTTTATTTTGATTTAATATTTCAAATGACTTCTGTGAACTATTTAAACAAAAATTGTTTCCGAAGTTAATTTTGATAATAAAGATACTTCTAAACTAGTATTGGTAATTTTGAGAGTGTGTAATTTGATGAGGTTTCTAAACCAATTTAATTTCATATCGCTTTAAATAATAATTTTGTAATATAATTGTAATTTGGGTAATTTTGATGATGTTTAGTTTGAAATTGTTTCTAAATCGATTTAATTTGATGATATTTCTAATTAATTTAAAAATAATACTTTTGATTTTACGATATAGAAATAATTCCTGATGTTACACAATTTTGAAGTAATAGTAATTTTAATTTCATGATTTAATTTAATTTGATGATGTTTCTAAATTAATTTAATTCATTAATGAATAATCTTAAAAAGAGCATTTTTAATAACATTTTGGAAATAAATTAATTTAGGGTATTTATAATGTTTTAACAACGCTGAAGTTTAAAGAAATTTAATATTTTTGAAATTTTATTTTAAAAGTAACATTTCAGAAATAAACGTAATTATTTTAATAATATCTTAAAAAATATATTAGAGAAAGGCAGTACTTGTTTCAGTATTTTAAGGACAGACGAATATTTTGTCAAACAAATTGTGAAAGAATGATAATTTTTTGAATTGTTGATTATTTCAATATTTGTCATAAAACAACTGTAAAAATTAACTATTCTCTTCGTTAAAATTCATTGTTAAGTAGGTGATAAAACTGTATTTATGAATATTTTTGTATGCGATAAACTACCTTGAAATTTTAAGAATTTAAGATTTTATAAATGAATACAATTTGTCACTAATGCATTGATTTTATGTAATTATGAAATGGAGATTCTGTTTGGTATAACAATGTTTATGTGGCTCTATTACTTCAGGAATTCAGCAAGAAAATACAAGACGAAAAATCCCTGTCAGAGCATCTCAAACTGCCAATCCAAAGGATAAGCGATTACCAGTTGTTGCTTAAGGTAAATAAACTATTCGTCGAATTCTTTTATTTAAATCTGAATTTGAAATAAAACTTAAAGCAAATTTTATATTTTAATCGTTATTAACTTATCAGAAATAAATGATGAAGGAGAGGGAAAAATTGATAAAAATTTCCCGTCTTACATGATATTTAAAGTACATCAAAGAGAAATTAATAGAAAACTTTTCAGCTAACTTCCAGTAAATTATAGTATGTATCTAATTTACATTAGTTAATGCCTGATGCAGAAGAGCTTGCATTTTAGAGTGGTATAGCAATTACAAATTCTATTTGCTTATAATTTCACATTGAGAAATCAGGAGTCAGTTCCATCACTATACTTCCAAAAGTCATTGAAAAAGCCTCAAGGAAGTCTGATTCCTCCATTTTCAGGGTCCTAGGCAATCAGTACGGTTAGCTTTCCTTATTAATGATTATATCTGTTAGTATATCGAAACAAAATAGGCTTTTATTTAGTTAATTAAAAGTACAATAATTTAACGTTTGCAATCTGTTACGAAGGAAATCTACTTGACTTTAGTAAGGAGATGTCGTTGATGATATCATTACTCTGATATTTTTTAGAATATAATTTTCTGCCGGCGGAACTACAAGGAAATTCGGCCTTTCTTGATAAAACCATGACCTGAAAGACATTTTTAACAATTTAGACTTAGGAAACTCCTCTCCACTGCAGCTACTCATAAAGGAATTGTCTAAAGAATAATGTAGGGGGGCATTCATTCAAATAAGTATCTTTGAAAGAATACATATGAATATAGAAAGCAGTTTCTTCTGGTGTTTCTGCCACTTCATGAGATCTTGTAAACTACATACTTCTGTAATCATTTATTCAACATTTATGTCAGACTGATGGCTTCTCACTGTATCTTGCATTTTGCTTTAAAGCATTTAGCATATTTTTGCTATTTCTTTTTCAAAAGATCATATGCAATTTTTCAAGTGAAAAAATAACAGTTTACTCTCGGCAGTTTAAGCTACACAATTAATTGCTTTAATAAATATATTATTTCTTCAACATTAGTATAAAATGGATGTCTTTTCACCGTGTCTTGCCTTTGGCATTAAAGCATATTGCGAATGTTTTAGTTTCTTTCTAACAAAATTACGTGCAGTGTTTGAAGATCATAAAGTGAATCGCACGCTCACCATTTCAGCTACTGAAATCGTTGCTGAAATAAATATGCCACTTTTTTCCATCATTCATTTTAGACTAATATCTTCTTACTGTATACCATCTTTTGTGTTAAAACATGCAGTGTTTTGAAATTCCTTTTCCTTTATCTTATGAAAGCTTTCGAAGTCATAAAAAAATCAATAATGTACCCTCACCAGTTCAAGCTACTTATATAGTTACTTTAATAAACATGCGATCTCTTCAGCATTAATGTCATATTGATGCTTTGCTTAGCGTATCATATCGTTTAAATTAACATTGCAAATATTCATTATTTTTTTCTTATAGCATTTTCAATTTTTTTCGCGTAACTCTGCAATTTCACTTTCCAAACTCTTAAGAACGATAAACAGCTTACACTCTCTCACCATTTAAAGCTGGTTTCTGGCGGAAGAAGATTAGAACCTCTGTAAAGTTAACTTAGCCCTTTAACGAAATGGAATTCTAAATGCTTGAGTAATTGTCTGTTGCCCCAGAAGAATGCATTAATTCTTGTTTATGAATCCAAAACACTCGTACAAAATATTTCTTTCTTTCCGTAATGACATTCTATATTTTGATCATGAAAATTTGTTGCAAACTTTAACTGGATGATTTTTCATTTTAGGAGCTAATTAAATACACAGCTAGATTAAAAGAAAATACCGCCGACTTAGAGAAAGCCCACGATTTTATGCAAGCCATTCCCCAGCGTATTGCTGATCTTCAATACATCAATTCCATTCAGGGATACAAAGGAAATCTTCATAAACTAGGAAGAATACTCAAGCATGTAAGTATTTCTTCGTTATCATAAAACCTAATGTGATTTTCTTAGTCATGTGAAACGCTTATTAAAGGCAATTTACTATGGTAAGCATAAAAAGTTTAATAGTTACTGAAATAATATTTAGCTTAAAAAGGATGTTAGTTCCGAATGGAAAATTAGTCTCCAAACCGCATTTTGCGTTGAATCTTTATAAATGAGGTATCAGTTTCTAAATCGTTGCCGCCAAACATTATGGCCTTGTACTATAATATTTAAAGAAATTAAATAGCGAAGAATCTGCTTGAATGTATGAATTTTTCTCGCACTGTGAAAACACGACGTTAAATAGAGCCATCCAATTTTGAATAACATACCTCTCTACCAGAACGGGGGCACTCAGAAGCCCGAATTTTGAATTTCCAATTTGTATTTTATGTTTCACATTTTGTAAACTTTTAACGAATTCTTGATTAAAATACTCAATGATTTCAAATCAAACGGTGGCAATATATTACGGAATAAAACATTTTTATCTCCAGCGAGCCAAACTGTCTATCTAAAATTCTAAAGATATACTTTTTTTAAATGCTTTGTGATTTTGTCGTTGAATCGAATTTTATATAGTGTAAGTGCCAAGAACTTGATAAAATAAAGTAAACGCATAAAATATTAGTAATAAAAAGACAAAAAGAAAAGTCTTGCCTTTAGTAAAAAAAAGGAACATTGATATGAATAGAGAAAAGATTGGAAGAAACAGAAAAATGTATGCGAGCACTTAACATCTGAAATTCCAAACATGTACTGCTATGCTGCTGTAAAATTTTTGTAATTATGCTGTTGAATTGTATATGGCGTAAGCGCGAAGAAAATGATGCTTAATAATAAAACTAAAAAGGAAAAAAAATGGTTACTAGGAGTGAGTGCAACAGCAGACTGCGAGAGCTTAAAAAATCTTTAACAAACCGTTTTGGGCGACCGCTCAAACTGAAAACTTTCAGATTTTTTATTAACTTCCTTTGGTGTTAAATTCAAATTAACACAGCCAATGCATTTAGAGAGACAAATACAGACTGCTTCAACTTCTGCAAAAAAGTAAATCCGGTTAATGGCAGCTACAATTAACTTTATATGTACAGACAATTTTCTGTTTATATGAAAAATTGCTACTTGTGCAGAAAATGTTTTTATAAAGCAGACTGTGCGGCTTGCCAAAGTACGGTATTTATAAGCAGGGTGTTTCATGTCAAATGGAACAAAAAGAATAGCATAGTAAAAATTTTGTAATTTTTTTATTAACCCGAAACAAATTAATTTTGAGACTACAATTACATAAGTTTTACCTGAACCCAGCCAAAAATCTTCCGGCTACGAAATCACGGCTAGAAGCATTGTTAATCCAAACGCCGCCATTCGTGGTGGAGTAAACGTGCTGCGTTTTGGAACAGAATTAAAACACCATCGTTTATCGTCGTTTAAAGACACTTTCACACGAAATTTGGTAAAGAACCACCGCATTGTCGCAATATGGAACGGCGGTTGACAAAGTTTCATGACATGGGCTGCTTCTGTAAAAAAAAAAAAAAAAAAAAAAAAAAAAAAATAGCTCAGGAAAAACAACAGCCAAAACCAAAGTTGTTGAAAAAATTTGTCAAATGTTTTTACGAATTTCCGCAAAATCAAAAATTCGTGCAAGTTCTGAACTCAGTATGTCTCATGTGATGGCGTGATGTCGAGTGTTACGGAAACGTCTACAAACACCGCCGTACACCTTTTAGAAGGTGTAGGCGTTAAAACCTTTCGACAAACCGTTGCGTAAAGCTTTCTGTGAGAATTTGCAAAGTAAGCTGGAGGTAGATGCTTTCGCGAATAGTCTTGTGTTTACAGATGAAGCCACTTTCTGGCAAAGTTAATCGCCATAATTTACGATTTAGGAGAGGGGCGGAAGATTTATATGGTGCAATGGAACATGAGAGCATGATACTCCGACAGTTGCATTCTTCGCCATTTCCAACAGTTGTGTTTTTGGTCATTTTTACTTCCTGGAAAATTCGATTAACGGATTTATTTAGCAAAATCTGCTAGCACAGTGATTATTCCCTCAATTAGAGCAAGCGGTTCTCGGCTTCATTCTGCAGGAAGACACAGACAGCTTTGTTGGCTCCCAGTATCCTCAGACCTAGCCCCTTAGGGTTTTTCTTATGTGTTTTGTTAAGACAAAGTGTTCGTGCCTTCACTTCTCCTAGACGTACAGTAACTGAAGCAGAAGATAACTGAAGTGCTCGAATCATTAACAAAGAATATTCTATCATGAGTGTGGCAGGAACTGAAATACCGCAAAGATATTTGCTGCATCATCGGAGATGCACACATAGAGTATCTTTAGAAACTTGCTTAACTATAGTTTCACTGTAAGTTTGATTTATCGAAATGAATTAAGTAGAGCATTCATAGTTATGCTTTCATTTTGTCCCATCCGATATGAAACACCCTGTAACTGAGCATAAGTTTTCTGTTTGAATTCAAGGAAAAACTGTATTAATATTCTACCATACATTAAAACCTAGGGAAGAATTTTTTTTATGCATCATGTGTATTTATAAATCTTCGTCAGTGAAGTTTGTAAATTATAAAATCTAAGGGTTTATTTATATTGTCAATCATCTTTAAAATTTTGAAGGTGAAAATTCAATTTAAAGTAAACGAATTGAAGGTGTTTTAGTACAATTAATGAACCTCGCGCAATCGTACGTATTTATTGTTGATGCAAGTTTTAATCTTTATATTTTATAAATTAAATGACTAAATTTCATTATGTTCGTTTATTAAGCACCTTTTTAAACTAAGAGCATTAAAAAAAATCATTGGCTTAAGTAATCTAATTTATAGACTACTACTTTATCACTAAAGAATACAAATATTTGAAATAATTTCCATTTTTATTATGGACATTTCTTATCAGTACTAGTAATAAAATATCTGATGGTGACACATGACTTCCTTGTGCGGGCTATTAAACTGTATACATTCTGTGCTGCACTTCTCATTCTGTGCAGATTTCTCATTCAATCAATTCACTTTTCAGCTCGCGGCGAGGCAAAAATACATAAAAGCTCAAAGCATCTTCATTAAGAATTGTAAACTACAGGTGACAAGTGAGAGCAGGGTCTGGACAACCGGGCAGCTTTTATTGATTTCACCGACTATTCGGGTATCGTCCGAATCCAGCATCTGTCCAGAAAACAGCATTGCCCAACTGAGGCTGATGTTGGAAGACAGACTGTAAAATACAAAAAAGGAAAAAAAAAAATAAATAAAAAAATAAAAAAAAATAAAACAACAAATGCAGTAAAAGAACAAAATTAGAGTTTTACTTTAAGAGTTTCTACACAAAAACAAGCAATTCTGGCAGATGGCAGGAAAACCGATTTTTCGGTGCATAAAATTGGAAGTTTACTTTTGGTCCCACTCGGCAAAAAGTCACTAAAGTTGGCACACAAACTGACTTAATTCACTATTCTACTAAGAAATGTAAACAAATGGCGGCTTCGTTAGGATTAACAATAATTCTGAATTGTTCATAATTCTACAACTACTGCATGCAGATCAACTAAAGGCATGAAAACCTTAACCGAAACGAAAGAATAACTTAAATTAACCACTTTTAGAGCAAAAAATGCACAATTTGCCAACATATAAAAAAAAAAAAAAAAAAAACTGAGTTGATCCAGCCGGATTACAGAGTGTTATAGCAGTCCAATATACAGTTCCTTTTTGAGTTATGCGAGATACATATGTACGTACGAACAGACGTCACATAAAAAACCTCTCCTGATTCATTTTATAATACGTTTCGGAAGAAAAGAGTCCTTTATTCTATCAGTACGTACAGATTTCAACCAGAAACATCGCACAAATGGATTCGAGAGTGGTCAAAATGGATATTTTCGTTGAAATATGATACCCAGAATGATGATATTTTACTTCGTACAAGGAAGTAAAATTATCAACTGTTTTATTTTCATTATACAAGAAAGCAAACATTTATGATGTTTGCTCTTCAGTTGATTTGTGTATAAATGGCGGAATGGCTATAGCCTCTGAACACTGGTAATTTGTTCCGCGTCCCGTTTGTAGAACGGCTGCATGGGTGTTTTACAGTAGTTTCAAGCAGTCTTAACTTAGTTTACCTGAAATGAATCTTCCAATCAATTAACTGCTTGTAATCAAGCTGCACGCGTTAGATGTGTAAATTTAAGTTTATTTAATATTAAAATTTGAACTTAAATTATTTCATGTTTCGATAAAAAAAAAACTTCAGAAGTATATTATTTAAATAAATATACAAATTATCAGATTTGTTCTATCGGAATTATTATTACTGTTATCAATTGTGATCACATATGAAAAAATGTTTAAGATTTGTTATCTGTGCATTTTCAGGATTGGTTCGAAGTAACGGACGGAAACAACTTACGTAGAGAGCGATTCGTGTTTCTGTTTAAAGGTCGTATATTCATCACGGATCACAAAAGAGTTGGAACCAGCAGATCCATCTACTTGGTGAAATACGTCATCAAAGTATGTCATTACACCCTATTTAAAAACATTTTCAATCAAAGAAAATCTTATTTAGCTCTCTCTATTTGCAGAAATGCTTTAACGACCCAACGTTGAAAGTTTAAATCAACAATTAAGTTTTGGTATTCGGAAGAGTTTAAAACGGTGATTTAGATTACAGCAATACGCAAGTGTATACACATTACACACACGCACCAAAAAAAAAAAAAAAAAAAGTTCTATATCTCCTGTTCTACTACGCCGGTTGACCAAATGTAGCTTTCGTTTTGCATGACTCGAAAGCGAAACTTAGGATATATGTCTTAGATTTATATAGCATTGTTCTAACTTTGGCATTCTGACATACTAAAATCGGACTATTTCTGAAATAACATATCTATTTTGTCCACATTTCAATTCTGCGACTCAAATTGTGCCAAAATGCAAAGTTTTGTAAAAAATCGTACGAGTACTTTCTAAAAAATTAGCCCTCAAATTTTATCTCCTAAATTTTAATTGAATTTGATACGTATTTATTAATATCTCTTTTTCTATTAGACATATTTGATCCTTTCTTTCACAATTCAAAATTTAGGTTGAATACAAATGGAATTCGTACATATTTTCTGATTTATTAGCCCAAAGGGGCGGTAGCCCAGTAGGACTATTCGTCTCAAAACAGCATTTTGTGGCGTTTCTCTGTAAACGACGAATTACTTTTTAAATTGTTGCCACCAAATATTATCGCCCTGTCTTATATTTAAAGTAAACAAATAATGAAGAATTTGCATCATGAATGTTTTGTATGTTTTTAGCACTGTGAAAAAACTACTTTACCTAGAGCAATCAAATTTTGAATAACGTAATCCTCCACCCGAACATGAGCACCTGGACGAGCGAATTTTAAATTTCGAGTTTGGTTTTATTATCTATTTCATATTTTGTAAAATTTTAACTAATTTTTAATTAACAAACTCGTTGATTTCAAAGCGAGCAATGGCAACACTGTACGAAAAAAAAAGCATCTTTATCTCCAGCTCTCGAGACTGTCTGTCGGAAATTCTAAAGATAGGCTGTTTTTAAATATTTTTAGCCCAAATGCTCTCGAAAAGGGCATGTTTATGCAAGTAAAAAATGCTCGTTTGTGCGTAATATAAAATCTGAAAGCATTCAGATTAAAAAAAAATTGTTTAGTAGTTTTTATAAATTTTGGAAGTATTTTTTATTATAATTTATAAAATTTTACCATCATCTTAAAGTAGATGCATATCTAGACATGCCTGCATAAAATTAGTTTTTATTCAAAAATTTTCTAAGACACACGTGAATTTATAGATTTGAGCTGTGGGCATATTTGTTATAAGCTTTAATAACGCCAAACGTGGTTTACGCACTTTGTTAAATTATTTGAAAGAATAAACGACGCATCTATGCATTTTGTGTACAATGAAACCGAAAGACAAAAAGGTTATCATAAATTAAGAATTTCACCAAGTAAATTATTCTTAGTGAAACCTGAAGAAAGTGCGCCAAGATAAATTTTTAAATTTCTCGGTAAGTTTCTCCCCGAGGTTTGCAAAATTTAATATTTAGGCATAATTTGAGTCCAAAAGAGGAACATGGAAAACATCGGTATGTCATATCAGAAAAAGTCTCGTTTTGTATGAAAATACCTACGTTAGGACAATGCTATACATAAATCTATTATACGTTCGTTACTGTTGTTTTCCTTATATTCATGCACATTCGATGTAAACGATTTACATTCACTCTACGATTTTATCTCTTCTTATAATGAAAATCTAAATCAAGAAATACCAATTAATTTCATGGTCGATGATGTTCATTATATGCAGAAAAGAAGCTGTGGTCGGAGCAGCGCTGAGTAAAAATTCACCTCGTAAGAAGGCAATGAAAAGGGGCAAAAGGAATGTTATTTGATGAATGAAAGTGAAATCTATCTGTGTTGGCACAGAATGAGGGGAAAAAAATCAGTGAAACTGACAAGGGTAGCACGAAAATAGAAACAGCTCTGTCAAGCTGGGAAGTTTCTTAAGGAACGGATTTCATCCTGAAGGGAAAAAAACTTATTATCTTTAAGATACTCGAACACAATGAAATTGTTACCTGGGGGACCACAGCTATATCCCTAAGTGACGTAAATATTTCCAGGGAAACGTTTATTGGTTAAAAGTGGAAAAAATGGCTATATTTGATAAAGACGGTCGCGTGACTTATAAATGCGATGAGATTTCTTCGTCTTCATTGGGTCAACAGCCCAGGGTGGACTCTGGCCTTCTCGAGGCATCTTTGCTTTTGGCAACTATTTTCCAGTTGTTCCTTTAGAACGTTTACGTCATTTTCATCACAACCGATTAATCTCATTGGGGAGAGGGGGGTTTACCCCGAAGGCTGGCTACCATAGGCTTTGCCAGAAAGATTTTCCTAAATATGTATGTATCAGTATGTGATCCAGTATGTTCCAGTATGTGATCTTCACACATACTGGCCCATTGATCAGCCTTTAATGGGCTGATCACCGGGCCAGTAGTTGATCCTAAAGTCCCTGTAGTTTGAAGAATTTTACTGTCAAAAATCCCCAAAGTTCCTCATCAAAGTCAGAGCCCAAACTTCCGATACATAAGTCAAGACAGATACTATAAGAAGATCTTCTTTATGTCCCTTTAAGATCCTAAAGAAGTAATTTAGTTCTTAACTTTAGAAAGCTGGATTATAAATAACTCTTTAGGCCACGAAAACATCTATTTGAAGAAAAGATTCTTTTAGTATTTCAGAAGTTATCTCATTTTTACAATTTATCTCCGTTCCCAGACAAGTGAAACTGTAGCCCTTTTAAAGTCTATAGCTATTAATTTCTAAAGAGAATCGGTGAAATTGAATTATATTAAAATAGTTTTTAAAACATAAATATATTTAGTAAAAATTTCAGCTTAAAACTCAATTTTCGTACTTGTTTTTTACCGTATAACTTACTTCCTTAATATCATTATATCATTTTTATGTAATTCTATTTATATTGTTTTCTAGTAAAGGAGTTAAAAGGAATTCCATTGTGTAAGTACTTTCTGTCTAATATTGACTAATTTTTGAGCTACAACATAGTAAAAGTGGCCCATCAGCTGCCAAAGTCCCTGAAAACTGGTAGTTCGGTGAAAGGTTCAAGCCCGAGATCGGGCTGGTTGCATAGGCGTTTTTATGGTTTCCCTCATGTGTAACGCGTTAATACGAATTAGTTCCCCTTCGAAAGTCATCCACGAAGGCATCCCTGCCTTCCGTGTAGTGCCTTAGAGCGGAGCGCGCAAATAATAATAATAAAATAATAATAATAATAATAACATAGTAAATGTGCTCGAAAACCTTATAATTATTCTTCAATCATCTCTAAAATCTTTATTTGTTATAGTATCCTTTAAATAATTGTACAAGAAACAAGCTTCTTGCTTACTGCAATTCTCTTTTTTTCCGAGTAAGTTTTGTCTGGGTGTTTTCCGTGGAGCAATTCTGAATGTAGTTTTTGAATAACTTCCTGTCTGGTTTTGTAAAAATATATGATTTAGAGTAATAATACCCGAAATTATTCATAGAATGTACAATATATTTTGTAGAAAACAATTTTGCATTTTTTAGTGCTATGCTTCGTAAAAAATGAACAAACATCTTATAGGGTGTGGCCTTCTTCGGCAGCATAAAATTACATCGGAACTTTAAAAGACATGTAGCGAATTTTCACTATGTCTTGTTAAGAACCACAGAGACAGGAAAAGGGTGTAAAAGGTCCTTTATTGATCCAAATAAATTTCAACAGTCGCACCAACTAGTGCTTACAGAAACCAATAACTTTGGCTTTAAATCAAAGATAAAGAATGAAATAAAAATAAAAAAATTTAAATATAGCCTAACAGCTTCACAGTATAACTATCTGATTTCACTCTCCAAAACTTTCCTTTAAGTATTCCTTTCATTCTATCTAATTTGAGTATCGCTGGAGCTAGAAATTTACATTCTGGCAGGGATATGGAAACGAGGCTGATAGAAAAGGAAATAAACACAAAATATGGGTTTGAAACTTAAATGATACTCTACAATCTTCTAAATACTATTTATAATGGATTTCGTTACAAATTGCGTTGCTTATAAATATGTAAAAAGAAATTTTCCCACTATCACTTGTCGTTGTGAAGTTACTTTTAACAAATTGAAATCCCTTAGAAATATTGGCAATCTTGCAAAAGTTGGATTTTAAATAGGTCTTCAGACTATGAAAACATCTATTGAGCTTTTAAATTGTCCTACCAAACAAAGTCCATTAAACTGCTCAAAAAATATTTGGATTCTTTTAATATTACGCATGCCGTAAGCCAAAACACGTGTATGAATAATTTTTCAAATAAATTTCATTACAGCTCCCAGATGTGGAAATAGTAGACAACGCCGATGACGATGAACTCAAACTTCGATTTCAAAGCTTGAAAAGTGGAGTTGCAGGATTCCCTCTCACGCTTAAAAGTAAGACGATGGAACAGAAAGATGATTGGTTGAATGCCATCCAACTTTCTGCAGGACCACTAGGTAAAAATAAAAATTCCTTACCCTCTTAATAAATTATGACTTAGTTTCTACAGGTTGTCAAGTACTTTAAACCACAGTTTCGAAATGGCGGGCAGTGGGCTGCATATGGCCTCCGAAGCGATTCTGAATGGATTGCGACTATATTTCTCCCAAATTAAGTAGCATCTTCAGGACATGGATCTGAAGAAATAAGTTAAGATTTTATTGGTTTGGAGTCTAGTTTTGAATTATTTTCATTACCGTTAAAAATAAACGTGACTAACACCTCAGATAATCTACAATGGAGCTAATTATCAAATACCGCACTGTAAATCTTATTCAAAGGTTTGAAAATGCAGTTTGATGTCAACTTTTTATTTCATCCTTTTCGGAAGGGAAAGAAGAAATAAGGACGCATTTACAGCGATTCTTCTGCAAGTGAAAGTTAGATTTCACGTGCAATATGGTTACAAGAAAATATCAGCAGGTAGTCGAATGATTGGCAAGCATGAAAAGGCTTAAGGTAGCTTAACATTTGTCGCCCAACAGTTTGGAATTGATAAAAGTGTTTGTTATACCAACTTGGATAGCCTTCCTAACGAAGCTGTATGAAAAATTGGCGGTGGTCGAGTAAGGAAAACAGCTGCAGCAGCGATCGAAACCAGACAGCGGACAAACTTGCTCAGCATGTGCCCAAGGCAACCGGACGACAGGTTTACCAATTTACTGTGGCCAGACGGCTTCATAAAGGTGGACCGTTCGCTCACCGTCCTAAAAGTTGCATAGTATTTAAAGAGTTAAAGCAACAAGAATAAGCATAATATTCATAAAATATCAGCGTAATATTCATTTGTTTTATGAATTTTTCTTGTTGCTTTAACTCCTCCTATGATTTTCGATAGAGGTTTACTTACTGATGATCCTTATTGGAATGAAGCTACCCTTCACCACGTGCGTCATTTCCAGGAGGGGGAGCATTGGTCCCGACTTTGTTTCCGTGGATGACAATGCAAGGCAGCCCAGAACTCATGATGTTGAGGAGGTCCTGTAAAGCGAAGAGAGCCACAGAATAGATTCGACGGTATGCTCCACTATTTTAATTCTCATTGAATGTGTGTTGAAAGGAAGGCTTTAGGAAGACGACTAGCGGTACGATCTATTCCTCTGGAGAACTGAAAGAGATGCTTCTTGAAGAATGCAAACTCTTACCTCCAAGAATTGTTGGATAATCTGGTGTTGAGTACCGACAGATGGTGCAATGGAACCATTGCAGTTGGAGAAAGTCATATCTTTTACTAAGACTCCTTGGTTTGCTGTTCTCTTCCTTGGCCAGATAGATTTTGTACCAATGTCATTCTATCGATAAATCATTTTTCTATTCGTTCCGTACTATATACGGCCTATTCATTTTACTGGTACTGTACTTTTCTCATCCTTTAAGTACTACATTGCGCCTCTGTAGTATCATGCCTTCCTGTTGATGTTTTGCGGAATTAAGTCCAACACCAGAAAAGTTGCTTAAGTTTCTCACATTAGTATGTGAAAATTTTTTTCTGTACTCGAAAACGAATAAGTGTAAGAAAAGAACCAGGTTGCCCGATGAGCATCTACAATTCGTAATGAAGATAGATTCTAGGCTTTTTTGCTCAAACTTATAAAGTCGAAATTTCCCGTCTTTGTGTTATAAGGTGTTGTATCTGAAAGTTGTAAAAGAAACATTGAAGTTTATACTAATTATTTACATATAAATGTATATATTTTTATGTATGCATCAAGAAAAAAATCAATAAATAAAAGAATGAGAAAAGGCTGTCACCATTTATTGTCAAGCCCTTTCTACTTAAAATATTACCGTAATTTGTTTAAGTTAAAAATACAGTTTTTAGTGGGTAAATCAACATATAGAATCACAGCAGAATGCCTATTATCTGCGCTAATGTGAACCGAGGCTGATTCGTATAACATGCATTGACACAAAGAAAATGTTAAGTCTCATTGCACATACTTTAGGGAATTTACTAACAAACAAGATTCATTCTGGTGCTCACACAGAGTACTAAATGTGATATGTAGTACAAACTTGAAAACATGTACCTGTAATAGAAATAAGATACTATGGGATATGCATGACATATCACACATCTAAAGGAAAAAATAACATCAATTACATACTTTTATTTCATTGTGCTGCCCCGTTTTCTTGCCACCATTTTGCTTAGGCGTCACAATATCATAATGTTGGCTAGTGACGTATAGTCTTGCTATAGTTATAGAACAGTGTCTTTTTGATCCCATTCAAGTCATCTGCATGACTGATCTTGGCTTGAACAATTTTTAAGTCTTCGTCATCAGAGCTTTCACTGTGCATGACTAAATTTACAATGATCTCATCAGACAACTCAAATTGTTCATCATCTTGGTCCAATCATTCACGTCTTCATTCGTTACTGCTTCTGTAACTGAGAAAACTAAGAATTAACTGATTTTTCACTCAAAGGGCGCAAGAATCGAGGTTGTCCAACTCATACGCGGTAACGATGGAGATTCCGATCTTTACGGTTTGAATTACTGCTAAAACCCAAGTCTAAACGGCGCTATTTTATTAACAGTGCATCATTATTATGATTGTTATGTATGTTTCGATGAATACTTACTAAATAAAATTTAAAGTTTATTTATTTATTTATTTATTTATAGTTAAAAGGAAGCTTTTAATTTTTTAAAAAAGAATTCGACCTGGCAGCTATTTTGAGATCGTGCATTTGACCTGCATGCAGTTTGAGTTTAAGAACAGTGATTTGAACTATGCTCTGCACATATTTTTTAACAGTAATAACTAGCAATTCGTAATTAACTTGGGGAGGTTTTCGTGGTTTTCTCCATGTGAAACATTAATACGAGACATTTCTCTTAAGGAGTCCTCTACGAAGGCATCCTTCTGTTTAAACAAATATCCCTAGTATCAAACATTTCAATGTAATCCGAAGAAAAAGTAAGTTATGAACTTTTATGAGTAACATATTTAGCCTCTATGCTTATTATTACAAATCTGATTATTCCCAAAATCTGGCTGTTGTAGAAATTATACTGTCGAATACGGATTATCTGAATTTAACGAAATCGAATAGTAGTTGAATAGCCGATAACATGCAGAACTGAAATTAAATAATAGTTGAATAACGATAACATACCGATTAATATACTTGTCAAACAAAGAATACATTTTATAAACTATTTGACATATTAAAAGAAGAACGTTGTAGCTTTTGACTAACTTATATTTTTTACCACTTATCTCTTATCTAATGGCTAAAATGAGTTACTCTAGTTATCTCTGAAAGTTATCATTTGCACCAAAAAATAAGACTTTTAAAAACTAAATGCAAATTAACAAAGATTTATTAATTCCACAATTCATAGTAGAGAAGAAATAAAATACAAAACAAAGCTTACTACTTTTGCAGTACTAAACAAAGGGCTATTTGCCTTTTATATTCTATTTCTGTCTAAACTTAGGAGGTTAGAATAAGTGGGGCAAGCCTCTCCCGTAAGCCCCGTGCAATGAAAATGAAGCCATGGAAACGTCACGGTATGACTTCACGACTTATAATGGCCGCTGTCATAAGCGTAGTTTTCTGGTTGATTTTGTTTATATTCTAATAGGTGTTGTCTACGTGTTAGCTATTCAGCATTGAACGTTTATAAGTCTCCCGTTCTAATTTTGGTACTTAATATAAAACAATCCTTGCAATCCTTGGGATTTTCTACTTAGTACAGGGTGATCGTTTTTAAAGTGACAGTGTTCGGAGCGCCCTGTAGCGTGATCTAATAGCCGAAATTGGACCAAACTTGGTATTTAGACTAATCAAGACATACAATCGTAAAATTAAATTATTAATGTTTATTTACTACATTAACTTCCCCGGTGAGGAATTCGACCACATTTAATATGAGCACCGTTCTCAGAAATAACACCGTGCATTCTGTGCACAACGTTCTCCACAGCCGTATGTATTGGAAAAATACGATTTGTGACTCTATCATCAGTGAAGTTTTGGCGCAACAGCTGCTTTACCTTATTACTAATGTGTGGCGGAGCACTATTCTGCATAAAGATTGTCTGTTGGAGACGGTTTCTTTGCTGAAGTTGTGGAATATCAAACGTTTGCAGCATTTCGTGGTACCTTTCTGCATTTATGGTGCACGTTTGGGGTCCTGTCGGAGTGATGGTCTCAAAAACGAATGGCCCAGTTACGAATTCGGCTGTGAAACCATACCAAACAATGACTTTTGGGGAATTTAATGGGATTTCATGCATGCTGTGGGGCTGCTCAGAAGCCAAAATTTGTACTATTTTGTGTGTTTACGGACCCATTGAGATAAAAATGACACTCATCTCCCCCCCCCATGGGAAAGCATCATCAATTTCTACCCTGGCAAGAAACGATAGAGAGCGAATGACACTCGCTTATCATAATCACTTGGTTTCAGTTCGTACAGCAATGTTCCCTGCAATCCTTCGACAATTGCAGTTGCCACATCAGTTATTACATCTTCTGCTACTGGTTTACGTCCTCTCCCAGCGCGAATGGTCAGTGACCCCGTTTCCTCGAACTTCTTAATCATTTTCTTAAGACCATTCAGAGATAAAGGCCCCTTTCGTAATTTTTTTCTGGTTCTAAATTCCCGAAGAGCTGCGGATGCATTACATTGATTCATGTAATATAGCTCCACCAGTAACGCACATTCCGGTAACGTGAGAGGCATGTCCACTGGAGCTCGTTTACTTCAGCTGAGATTATTTGTCGGAGATGTCTACTATTTGCTTTTATAGCCCCTATTACTGGCGCTGTCATCGCACAACATTTGTATTTTTCTTTGATAACCGTCTTTTATGCTAATTCTCGTTATTGTAAGCTACAGCAGCGCCGCAAAATGCCCTAGCGGCGATTTTTCGAACTAAAAGTTTTTTTTACGGAATCCTTTTTCCCATGTCTTTATTAGTCTAAATACCAAGTTTGGTGCCATTTCGGCTCTTAGATCGCGCTACAGGGCGCTCCAAACACTGTCACTTTAAAAAAGATCACCCTGTATATAGAAAAACCCCAAGGATTGCAAATGACTGTTTCAAATATAATAAAATCTAAGTACAGGAAAATATGTCAGTGGGAATTAAAACACAAATGTGTATATGGTAAAACCTGGATAATCAGCGAACGTTTTGGTGGTGTTTTATGAAAATTATGCCCAAGAACAGCTTTCTGGGTGTTTCTTTCAACTTACGCAGGCTGTAGAGCCGAGCCTGCGTAAGTTGATATTTGCTGTCAATGTCAGTGTAATTTTATTTAACAATTTGTTTCATAATCTTATCCGTACGTTATGGGGCGGCCATGATATGTCGTGACGTCACGTCCTTGGCTGACACTTCCTTGGCTTCACTTTAGTGACATCAGGCTTATTCTGTCTATCATAACCTCCTTCATCTGAACATACGCTTTTCTCTACCACTGAATGGCAACAACAAGAAAAAAGGGGGGCAGTCAAAATGCATTTGATCAGATAAACGGTATGTGTTTGAGTATGTAAACATTCTTCTTGGATTTGTATTTTGATGTAGCTTTGATTAGATTATTTGCTTATGATATTTCGATATGTAGTAAAATCAATCTTAACCAGCACCCATTTACCCAACAATATCAAAATATCGACACTTTTGAAGATAACTTTTTAAATTTAAACCCCAAATTTAGGCTTGTGATTTTAAAAATTATGTAATGGTCTAACAGTCTGAAGACTTAAAATTCACAAAACATTCGAGTTATGTTGCTCCTGACCAACGTAACGAAATAATAGATTATACATAATCTATTATTTCGTTAATGAATTACCCGCTCTATTCATACCCCGGGAGTGGACAGTGTGGGGGAAATTAGCTGCCTTCACAATGACTAGAACCGCCGTTTCTACTGTGGTCCGACAAGGATTGTAAGGAACTATTAAGCCTGTCTCGGACTATGCGATCACTATATTATCATTATCATTATCATCATCATTATCATTATAAGAGCACAGCCCCGATCCTCCTAGCCGGCACAAGCCGACCGTATGATAAAAAAGTGGGTCTGGCCAGGGAAAAAAAAAACAAATATAAGAAAAACATATGAAGTCCAAAATCTGAGTCTCAGAGTTTAATTCCAATTCTATCTTTGTTCGTATTTATACTCTTCATTATGCAACATTATGCTTCATTATGCATATTACTATTCATTCTGCAAAATCTTTCAAATTTGAATAGTTCCTTTTAAAAGCTTCCTTAAAATTCTTTCTATATTTCTCTCTTGCACACCGAGTAAGCGTACATTCATCGACGAAGTGCCTGGCGTCCCCAAACTTAACACATGTAAGCATTTATTATTATTCTGTAGATGGAACCGATTAAAATAAGCCTGGAAACACCCCCTAATTTATATCAACATTATTTATAATATTCATCTTGTTTAACTTTACATTTTTCATTAACTCCGTTTTGTTATTAAACGACTCACAGCAAAAATTCCATTCTGTATAAATCCAGTTTTCCATTTCAGCAATGGTCTTTTTTTAAATCTTGGATATCAAAATTATCGGTCCCATCCCCCATTTTAGCAAGGGTGTCCGCCTTTTCATTTCCGACAATTTCACTGTGTGCTTTTACCTAGTGTAATTTAACAATATGTTTTCTTTCAGTCTTTTTAAGCAAGTCTTTTATTTCATTAATCAGTCGATTTTTATCATCTGTTTGGGAGAGTGCCTGAAGCACAGATAGAGCACCAGTATAAATATTTGTAAACATCAATATTTTTTCAATATACATTTTCAATGTATATTGAGAAAATATTTTTTAAAGAGACCGTCTCAGTAATCCTTCCTAGCAGCCTAGGTTGTATTTATATTAAGCACAGTTTGATTATTTTGATATACAATTGATGATTTGTTATTTTTGATGGTGGGTGGAATTGCATCCGAAAAAATTGAGTAGAATTCCCATCCGTAAATATTTTATATGGTATATTCTCCCTCCTTCTTGCACGCCTTCGTAGTGTAATGGTAGCACACTCGGCGCATATCCGAGAGGTCCAGGCTCGAGTCCCGGTAAGGGCATTGCTCAATCTTGTCTCCTGTTTCAAAATAACATAATGACTCTACAATTTTATGGAAATTTTCAATGTTGATTGAGAAAATATTTTGTAAGGAGACCGTGTTAAGAGTTCTTCCTACAATCGAGGTTGTAAATATACCTCGATATTGAGAGGACTTCCAATTTTTATTAATTTACGATACAAATTTTACTAGTATTATTTTTGTCTCTAGCCACTGAAGTGCGATAGCTGATATGCAAACTAATTTCTCATGTCAGGAATTAATCCTTAATGTTTTTGTATTTAGCCGAAATTTTTAAATTTGAAATTTTATTTGTAAATAGCCGAAGATCTTGCTGACGACGAACTCGATCAGATAGAGGAACAATCCACGAAGATCGAGGAATTCTATTCAAAACATGAGACTAAAGTAGAAGTTTTTGAAGACTTCGATGCCTATGAAGAAATGCACACAGTGGTCACTGAAAGCGTACGATCTGGATCATTAACGTCGTTGGAAGGTAAGATTTTTCACAGTTTGCTAGCTTCTTTGTTTGATCGAAATTTGAAATATAATTTAAAATTAGCTCATGTCAAAAGTTTTGGTCCATATTTTTATCACTCACCCTTAAGATAAACTTTAACACGAATTATGCTATACACATATTAAAGAAAGACTACTCACAATCAATAACATCCAAGAAAAGGAATTTAAGGCTCGCTTGGTGAATTACATTTTATTTTATAAACATGAAATAGTAAACATATTTAATTAAAACTATTTAATGGTTTACAACGGAACATTTTGGTAAGTAAACGTATTTTACATTTTTAGTTAATAAATTAAATTTATGTGTTATAGAAAATAATAGATAGCTATATGATAAAAGCTATGTACTAATCCAGACGCTAATATAAAATAGAAAATGACAAAATTATTATTCTCATAAACACTAATATAAGTTTTTGTGTATTAGCAATGATTATAATATTTATCTGTGCAATAATAAGACATAGAAAACATTCAGAATGTAATTAAAATTGGGCAAAGAATTTTATCCCATTACAGACATTACAGTACAAGCCACACCATTTACTATTAATAAAAATTATAGAATAAGGTACGTTTTAAAAGGAATTAATTGATTAAAGCAATAAAGCAGATGTTGCAATTAATAAGTAGAAAATTATAGAAGCTTAGAATACTTAGTTTCAAAGTTCTGTCCTTTCCTTATATTCATATTTTATCTCGATATGTGAATACATTTAATTTTAAAACAAACCTCATAATAAAGGCGCTTTATAATAAAGCCTAATATGTAAATTTTTCTTAAGAATTAATTTTGAATTAACGTAACGTGTTTTCAATTGAAATTGAAGTAAGTTTATTTTAACATGCAGGGTTTTTGCCTCCTTGTATGAAGTAATGAAAGTATTGTAATCGCGAAAGATTTCGGGTATCATACTTCAACGAAAATAACAATTTTCACCTCTCTCGAATCCGTTTGGAAGATTTTTTTGCTTGAAAACTGTACATACGGGAAGATAAAGGATTCGTTTTTCCAAAATTTATTGAAAAATGGATTTAAAATGCATTAGGAAGCTACATTTTCGTGACGTCTGCACATACATAAGTATGAACGTATAAAAACGAGTAGCTGTAGAACATTGACATTTTGTATATGGAACTGCTATAATATGTAGTTTTACCTCTGCCGTTTCCGCTGCAATCGGCACTCCAAACATATATAAATGTATATCTATTTATACATTGACACTCTGTTACCCGTTGGGTGAGCTCAATTTTATACTTATAGGGTGGTAAATTGTGCATTTTGTTTGCTTTAAGAGGGATTGCAATATATTTTCCGGTTATGTTACTTAGTAGAATACTGAATTAATTCAGATTCTGTCCAACTTCAGTGTCTTTCTGCGCAGTGGGATCAAAAGTTAAATTTTAATTTTCTGCATCGAAAATTTCGTCTTCCTGTCCGTTGGCCGAATTGCTTTTTTGCGCCTAAAAACTCTTAATTTAAATTGAAAACAAAATTATCTGCTTTCAAGTGTATTTGGTGTTTTAGGTTTTCTGTAGTTTACAATTTTTAATGAAGACGTTCCGAGTTTTTATGCAAATTTGCCTTGTCGCAATGTGAGAAGTGAATTAATTGAATGAGAAATATATCTCTAATGAAATTTGAGGACATAAGTTTAAATAAATGAAGTGCAACAAAAATTTTTATAATTTAATAGACAGTACGATGAAATCGTAGTGTCTTTAACAGGTATTTTAGGGAAGGTATTCTTCTATAATATTGAGCACTTTTTATTGTAACTGAACGTCGTAAGAACCTTTTTTTGTAATTTTTTATAAGATACTTAGCATTCTTATTGATAATTATTTAAGAAATTGCTATTTATTAGTCTTGCTGAGCGGATTTCGTTGCTTTTATACGTAAAGCGTATGCAAAATACACTATATTTTCCTTTTGAAAAATTTCTTAAAGACCTTTCTATTTTTCTTTTTCCTTTTCTTCTTTTCTTCTCGTTCTTCTTTATTCTTCTTCCTCTTCACGAACTTCTTTTTTCTTTTCTCCTTCTTCCTCTTCATTATCCTCTTTTTTCTTTCTTCTTCTTCCTGTTCATTCTCTTCTTTTTTTCTTTCTTCTTCCTCTTCATTCTCTTCTTTTTTTCTTTCTTCTTCCTCTTCATTCTCCGCCCACCGGCGGCCGAGCGGTAAAATCGCTGAACACTGGTAGTTCGGTCCGAGGTTCGAATCTCGCGAACGGGATGGCTGTATGGACGTTTTCGTGGTTTTCCCCATGTGTGACGTGTATACGAGCCAGTTTCCTTTGGAAAGTCCTCCACGAAGGCATCCCTTCCCTTAGGCAGATAGCCCTAGTGTGCTTTGCCGTATTCTCAATACGCCATACACCACCTCTTTATTCTCCTCTTTTTCTTAAAATTCTTCTTCTTCTTAGAAGGGAAATTTATTTAAAAGCTTTTTGTCTTTTTTCTTCTTTCCTTTTTAAAAATATTTAAGTTGATGTTTAAGTTAGGTATATAAAAAGTTACTCGTTACTTATTTTTAGATGTAGAGATTTATTGCGACGAGATACTGATTATGAAAGTTTCATTTCAATAATCATCCCCAAGCGAGCCTAAGATTAAATTTCGAAATATAAAAAATATGGCAATAAATTAAGATTTTTAATCATAGCATCGAACTTGCATCTACATTTTCTTGCATACATTTTAAAATTAATCTAAAAGAAATTTGCAATCAGAATTCAAATCTCCAATATGAAACGAGACACGTCACTTAAAAAGATTAATATTTTGCAGAAGGCCGATGCCCATAACAGTATGCACTAAACCATACATAACATTAACCATACTAGCGCAATAACAGTAACAGTGTTTTTTTTTTTTTTTGTGTGTGTGTTGATTAATATGCTGCTGGCTATTAACTGACGTGCATGTATTGATGCAATCCAATGTGACTTGTAGATTTTCACTCCGCACTTGAAGACGAAACGTCGCTGTGTCTGACGGCCTCCGACATGGAGTCGGGTGGTCCGGGTCGACCTCGGTTTACTGTACCATTGCGAGCTCAAACCTGTGCAGGTAAGTCCCTGCGACGCCCCATGCTGTCCTTAAAATTCTTTAAAAACGCTCAAGTGCTTGTTTATAGCTGTTCTCCATCACTGCCATTCCTTTCCCTAGACGCCTAGCGATCAAGCTTTTATTTATTTTGATTATTAAGTTAAAATTATTTGGCAACAGCGAGTTCCATGAATCTGGCTTCCTAATACAATAATACGCAAATAATTAAAGAAAATCGTTGTGGAAAGTTTGAATATAGCTTCAAAAATTTTTTTCTGAAATTAAAACATGTAAACATTTTATTTAATCTACTAATGAATTTATTACAAATAAATTAATTTAAAGCCTGCTCTTAAATTGATGTGTCTGTAAAAGTTAGACTAAACACAGTAAAATCTTGCATTTTATTTTACAGTTTTTCATTTTATAAATTGTAAAATGCTTGAGAAAGTTTTTGTTTGAAAATTAAATGCTAGGGTAATTGTGATGACTTTCTAGCATCTATTGAATTAGAAACTATACTATAACATTAATATCTTTTATATGAAATGCTATCCTTGGTAAAAAACATTACAGTAAAATAAGCGGTTAGGCTTCAACACGTTTAACGTTGCAAAAATAAACTTTTAGTTACTTCAAACGCGAATAATTAAATTTATAAAAGTGTTATAGCATACGTAATGCTAAAATTAAAATTTGGTCAATTCAACTGATAATTACATGTTATAACGTTCCAGGAACAATAGTAAACTAACAAGTATTATGGTACAGGTCTCTGTGCATAAAATTTTACGAATCGCTTTATATTGTGATGTACGCAAATTACAATCATGATGCTCTGTAATTAGTGTATATTCTATTTACTTCCAAATAAAATAATTAAATTCAAGTCAGGTCACAAATTCTAATTTAAAAAAACTTACTTGATAAAATTTTTTTTTCAATTATATTTTATTATACCATTAATGTATTTCTGTTTGTTTAGCTTTGAATTATCATTTTACATATTTTACCTGATTAAAAAAATCTAAAAGTTTTTGTTATAAACAAATATCCAAAGTATGATTTCCGAAAAATATCCACCGAGATTTTTAATTTATGAATAATATAAAAAGCAAATAAATTTATTTAAATAGTTATACTTTCTTGATATCAAATATTAGTATTTACAATCTAAATAATGCAAACTAAACATTATTAGCTATTTATCCTGGAAATAAGCTATTAATTTGTTCGTTATTTAATTATTTGTTTATGGAAAACCAAATGAAGAAGACGCTTTCCATGTTACCAGTTTCTTCGATTTTTTTTTTTTTTTTTTTTTTTTTTTTTTTTTTAAGATTAAAAGTCGTTTTTTATAACTTTTCATTCTTTTATTTTTATTTAGCCTAAACATATTAAAACAAAGGTATCCTCTTCTATGAGCCTTCATTGGAAGAGAAGAATTATTGTTATTTTATTATTGTTACTAACATGTTTTGCTTTTTTTGAGATTTTTTAGACAGCTAATTTGCAACAATACGTCAATACGTCTTTTTGCCTTTTTAATGCTTTCTCATTGATTTTCAGAGTTTTTTTTGATTTTCTATAACTAATGATTTCTCTGTTATTTACAACTATATTTTTCTACAGTGTTTGTATTGTCATTAAATTTTTATAATTACCATTAATTAATAAATATATAAACATTTTCAGAAACAGTGGTAAATTTACTTGCTTGTGTTAATATGCAAATTAATGCTTTAAATTTGCTCTTTTTTCTCTTTTTATTTATTTTTTTTAAAAGATGATTTGAAAAACTTTTTTTTTATTTTGTATTAAATGTAAGTTTTAATTAAATCGTATGAAAAATTCCGACATTTTAGACTACCAAAAATAATAGTACTATTTGAATTAAATGTAATTAATTAATTCCATTTCACGAGCCGTTACTGGATTTGTAAGTCTGCGATTTTATAAAGATATCTTTATGAAACAGCTGAAGCGATTGGAAATACATGCAAAATGAAAAAAGCACCAAACTTGATGCCATTTCGAGCTCTAATTATTGGAAAACTCAGAGTTATTTGGCTTTAACTGGAAAGAAAATATCTCTGTATTAAAAAAAAAAGTCATGGTTTCGCTGAATTAAATTAATTTAGATTTAAAAGAAGAGCACATCTTTTGTCTCTCAAAATACATTGAATTCAATGCGTGTCAGAAAAATGTATACGTACTTCAAAAGAATATAATATGCGGTCATGCAGTATGCACCAACGCAGTGTGTCTTTGCAGTATGTAATATTCTCAACGCATGCTCTCATGATTGTGATATGTGACATATGATGCATGGCAGTGAATCAAAATGCTTTAGGAGGACGTCGTGTAGTGCAGGAAATTGGTTATATTGGAGGTCGGGTTTTTCGCTGAGAAATTACTGAAGTTTGTAGAGCAGTCTCAGCCGATATATTGACCAATGTTGTTCAAGTGTGTGGCCGCTTATAGCCAACGCTGACACTCAAAGACACACTTTAAGTAATTGTACATGTATAGGTTGAGTAAAACTGTATTAAACTTAATCCAATCCATGCTATGCATGATTATATTAACCTATGTTTAATTCGGTACTAACACATTATAAAGAAATTTCTTTCGTTAGAGTCTGTATACATTCTTCTGATTCACTTTTAGTTGGACCCTGTATTTTAATGCGAAGTAAAAGTGAAAGTTTCCTCCTGATATACGCCGTTGTTCAGGTAAACGTTATTATTGAGCAGGTAGAGCATGAAAGAAGACAAGATGCATATCGCATAGAAGTTAAGTCATGGCATAATTATATATATGAATATAATTGCAGTGCAAATACAAATTGTGTATGACCCACATCCTTGTGATGACCGGGAACTCGCCTGATAGTACAGAAGAAGAAACAGAGTGAAATTCGGAAAGCCATACCTTTGACAATGACAATGAAGAGATGTGAATAAAGAAAAAAACATACCGATGGTTTAATGAACTTCTTGCAAAGCAATCTGCAAAATAAAAAAAGGACAGCAACGGGTGGATTTATGAAAGAACTACCGTCTTTCATTCATCGTACTGGTAAAGAGAAGAATCATAGCTATGATACTTTCAGCAATCGAAGGGAAATCATCGAGTATCTTTTGATGCCTTTTGCTGCAAAGAAGGATTGAAGCAAGCATTCCTCTTGCATCCGTGATAACATAAAATCAGAGATGGTTTGGTCTGGTTTATTTAATTACGGCAAACACACTAGGGCTATCTGCTTAAGGAGAGGGATGCCTTCGTGGAGGACTTTCTAAGGGAAACTGGCTCGCATACACGTTAATGGGGAAAACCACGAAAACGCCCATGCAGCCAGCCCGTTCGTGGGATTCGAAAGTCGGACCGAACTACCAATGTTCAGCGACTTTACCGCTCGGCCGCTGGTGGAACTGATACTTGTCGCAAGCGAGGCAGCCATTTTAAACTGGTATTGTGCAGTGTCTCGCTTCTCTGCAATATGCTGCCACCTGTTGGACATTCTTTACAGCGTTTGTAACTGTACTGCCAACTTATAGAATACCAGATATTAAATGTTTATTGCATTTTTAGGGTTTTTATTTGACTTCTATACGTATTTTTATTACGCGAAGTAAAAATTGATGAAATAAAAGTAAAGTAATTTATAAATTGGTTTTGAAAGCTATAAGAAAGTTAATTATAAATTTCTTGATGTTTCCATTCAAAATTCTGCATTAAGAAATAGGTTTCACTTGCATTTTTCCTTCCAAAAGTTCTAATCCGAGTCAAGCTTGCCTAGACAAAATTTCAACGAACTGTATTTGAAATTTATATTTCTATTAAACATTTTTATTTCAAATAAGCTTTACATGTCGAATACGAAAAGCGCAGTTACAAAACATTTCATATCTATACAAAAACAAACGACCGAAAAAGAATTACAGTGGACCTGAACTCTTATTTCCAATTTTAATGACGTAAAAATACATAATATTTAACTCCTCGTGCCATCTGGTAAAAATATAATTGTTTTTGTATTTTTTTTTCTTTGGATACCATTTTCGACAGCTGGTAGTTTAGAGTGCATTTCTCCATTTTTTAAAGTGCATTATGAATGTTTTTTGTCTGCTTCATCATCAGAGGGCTTGGAGGTGGTTCTAGAATGCGATGTTTGCGCCAGCCCGGACGCCACTGTCGCCTGGCTCAAAGACAACGCTCCTCTGGCAACTTCCAAAAGGGCTATACTGGAAGCTGACGGTGGTAAGCACAGGCTGCTCATCAAGAAGTCTGAATGCTCAGATTCGGGACTGTACACTATCATCGCTTCCAACGTCCATGGCACAACATCCTGTAGCGCTCCTCTTACAATTAGCTCAGGTAATAATTGAAAGTGATATTTTGTTAATTAAAGGCGAAAATTAAATTCTTGTAGCTATTTCAGATAACTTAAGGCTCAAGTACTATAAAAATTCTACAGCTGGTGTTAGTTTTTCATGCCAGTTGCGTGATTGAAATAAATTTAACAGAACAATTAATCAATTGCTGGGTTGTGTAAGACCTTGTTTTTAACTCAATTACAAATGTCGTCGTTAACCTTTGAACAGATATTTAAAAACACTTTTTCCACCTCTTTCATCTTCATTTTTGGCAGCCGAGTTCTTGCTTATAAATATCCACAAAATCAAAACATTTACAGCTAGAAACATTGGAATTAAATTAAAATTACACGTTGAGTGTGAACTTCTTACTAGTTTCTAGCAAGAGGTTCACTTAAAATTTTTCATGCTTAACATGCAATTTTAATAACTAAATATTATAAATCTATTAAAGTAAACTATTATTTAACTAAATATACGGGTGGGCAAAATTAAGAGATTGAAAACTTTTTCCCATATATTTTGGGAAATAATCGGTGTAAATGAATGAAACTGGTAAATTTGGGAAATACTCGATGTAAATGAATGAAATTATGGTTGTAATTTATGGTATGATAATAATGTGTGGAAAACAACAATGAAAATACCGTTCATTAGCATGAGTTATGGACAAGAGTCCAGTGTGGTCCAAACTTGAGGATGGATGGCAGTGAAGATGTCGATAGTATGGCGTATGGTCGCTTCTGACAGTCAGATGACATGCACTATTAGTAGCCATGTTGTTAACTAGAGAGTTTAAGAGAGTGCCCGTGGAAATCGCACCCACTCTACCAGAGCAGTTTTTAACTCCTGAATGGTTCTGAATGGGGGTTGGCGTATTGCAATATCCCTCCAAGAGCATTCCAAGCATGTTAAATAGGAGTAATATCAGGATATTTGGCTGGTCAATTCAATCTGTGATTATCTTCGCTTTCCAGATGGTCATCAACCAGGTGGGCATTGTTGTCCATAAAAATGAATTCAGGGCAAACAGCTGCCTTGAAAAGTCGCACATAGGGTTCTAAGATCCCTTGCCTGTACCTATGTGCATTCACAGAAACAGTGTCAAGCACATGGAGTGGTGTGTGGACATCTTGTATGATCCCTACCCAGACCATCATTCCTCCATTACCATACCGGTCCGTTTCCATGATGTTGCTGGGATGCTATCGGGTCTCAGGCTCCCTCCATATCAATAACGCCCAAGAATTAGGTTGTAGAGTGAATCTGGACTCATCCATGGAGACAGCGTTAGCCCAATAAAGATGAGCTCAGTGTTGGTGTTGTATGCACCATTGTAAACTCTTCTCTTTTGTGGGAGGGAAGGGGTGGGATGTAAATAGCGAGCTTTCTGGCATACAATCCTGTCTCAGGAGTCTTGTGGCAGGTAACAGGTGACAGCAGGACAGGGCACCCGGACGGCTTTCTATGACTACTCGGGTGTTACCCTGGCCCTGCAACCATCTAGAGACTTCACAGTTGTAACACGCTTAACAGATGTGTGCTCAATACATGTCACGTTACATCTACAGTATTATATGTGCACTGTCCTGTGCTAATAGCCTTGAACGGCACGTCGGCTCGTGGATAACTAAAAACAGTTACATTTCCATACTTCGGATACACATACCATTGCTGTCCTAGCTATTATTACTTTAGTAAGTTTTGAGAATCGTTATGCCAATTATGTTTATTGCATGTGCCCTATTCCGGCCTGCAGAGGTCTATGCCTAATTTTTCTAGCTTGTCCATTATGCTTTTAAGCTTTTGCCGCGTGCCTTGATGTCTTCTGGCAGGTGACAGGTGACAGCAGGACAGGGCACCCGGACGGCTTTCTATGACTACTCAGGTGTTACCCTGGCCCTGCAACCATCTAGAGACTTCACAGTTTTAAGACGCTTAACAGATGTGTGCTCAATACATTCCACATTACATCTACAGTATTATATGTGCACTGTCCATTACTGTGCTAATAGCCTTGAACGGCACGTCGGCTCGTGGATAACTAAAAACTAAAAACAGTTACATTTCCATACTACGGATACACATACCATTGCTGTCCTAGCTACTTTAGTAAGCTTTGAGAATCGTTATGCCAGTTATGTTTATTGCATGTGTCCTATTCCGGCCTGCAGAGATTTATGCCCATTTTTTCTAGCTTGTCCATTATGCTTTTAAGCTTTTGCCGCGTGCCTCGATGTTTTACGAGAAGGCGTTTGAAAGGCAGAACATTGGTGGTTTGGAATTTGATGTGCTATTCTGGAGGGGCACTCCGTGACATAGTGGTCTGGTGAGCCCAAGTTGTCACAAACACACATATTAGTTGTTGCTAGACCCCTTTCTGCAAAGTACGTCGGAAAGGGGTCGTGGCCTGTTATATATCGCGTGAGGTAGGGAGCTGAGATGAGCCGATCCACCTCTACCTTGGGCAGGAACTCAAATGCTCTGCGGCTTTGCGGGATTTGGTCCCATTCTTTCTGCCAGTTTCCAATGGCGGTCTCCTCTATTTGCCTCTTTAGGCATGACCGGGGCAGGGCCACCTGAATCTGCTCCGTTTCCTCATTTTGGGCAGCCTCCATGGCAAGAGCGTCTGCTGCTTCATATCCCTGGATTCCGGCGTACGCCTTCACTCAGGAAATTTGGATTCTCATTGACTTTTCTTGTAGACGGAGGACTTCTTGCAGGTGCTAGATTAGTGGGAGCGCTGGAGAGGGTTGTTGATAGCATAAATGCTTGACAGGCTGTCAGTAAATATCGTAGCACGACTCTGCCGTGTGTCAATTGCCCCTTTCACTGCCTTTGTGAGGGCAAATACTTCCTCTTGGAACACTGAGTTCTGTGCGCCCAGACGGCCCTTCCATTCCTTTGCTATGTTTACATCTATATAGGCTATATAGGCACTGCCTACAGTGTTATCAATTTTTGACCCGTCCGTATAAAGCACGGCCCCTGGTCCGTCTAAACGCGGGGTTAACGCTGGTGAGTGGAAAGTCCTTATGCCCAACCCATATTCCGACGGATGTGTGCTCAGTTTGGACCTGCGTGTTTCGTAGACTTCTGGCAGATAGCATGTATCCCCATATGTGCATGGCTGTTGGAGTTGCGTCACCTTTGCAATTGAGGCTTCTTGTTGCGCTTTGATTGGGAGCGGCATAAGCCCTGCTAATACCGAAGCGGCCGCAGTCGAAGTTTTCCTGTAGGTCTTCGTTATGGCCAGGACAAATGGTCGCTGTTCACTACTTAGCAATTTTGCCTTTCTGACTGTCATCGGGGTTCGACGGGAGTTTAACGTGCCATTGTGTGGTGAGTTGACACTCTGTCAGGTAGTGGTCGGGGGACCCGATTTTTCCGCAAACACATAGGTCTGTGGAGGATATATTTCTCTCTGCGAAGTAGGTCGGAAACGGCCCATGTCCTGTGATGAATCTTGTTAAGAAGGGCGCAGATATGAGTCGTTCCGTGTCCACTTTTCGTATGAATTCGAAAGTTCGCCGACTCTGTGGTGCGACGTGTTCCATTCCTGCTGCCACTGCGACAGAGCTTGACTTGCCAAGTCTGCCGCTTTGAGAAGTGACTTTGGTAAAGGCTGGGTCTATTTGCCACCGCATTCCCGGTCCTGTGCTGCCTCTCTTTGCCAGGGTATCTGCGCGTTCGTTGCCCTGGGCACCAACGTGCGCTTTTAACCCAAGAGATTTTCAATTTTTTGGACCAGCACTCGTATTTCTTAGTGTCTCCTGAATTTGGGACACGAGTGGGGAGGTGTGGCGTGGGTCGTTGATGGCGTATAGTACCTACCGATAGGCTATCAGTATAGATTGTAAAATCTTCTGCTGTGGTAGTTTGTGCCCATTCTATTGCTTTCAGCAAAGCAAGGGCTTCCGCCTGGAAGACCGAATTGTGCGGAGACATATGGCACTTCCAGGTTTGCACTTCAGTGCCATTATGGAAAACTGTATATGCGCTGCCGACTGCATTGTCCATCTTCGACCCATCCGTGTAAATCATGAAGCCCGGGCCCTCTATGGATGGTGGAAATTCAGGGGCGAAGTGAGTCACAACACCTTTCCCGTAATCTGAAGGGTGCGTTTTTAGTTCCTGTAGTAGTACTGTGTATTATTAATATTTACACAAAAGTGTATTTTAAAATATATAGAATTTACGCAGTATCTATGTGTATCAATACTTAACTTTTTTATATATTGTAACTTGGCGTAAGTTTCTACCTATCTCAGTGTATTGTATCCACGTGAATGTTACAGTAGTAGTATAATAGAAATAATTATATTATCTTACCTACGTGTATTTTTGTGTACATGGTACTTACGTATTAGTGTCAGTGTGTATTAGTCTAGAGTATACTTAGTGTGTCGCATTTATGCGCACTGGTTTAGTATTGTGTCTATCTTTTTAGTGTATAGTATATTAGTGAATTATTATATAGTACATACTGGTGTATAGTATATTAGTGTATAGAATACTTGGTGTATAGCGTATTATTGTGTCACAATTTATGTGTCACTGGTGTATTGTGTCTATCGTTGAGTTAGTATCTTAGTGTATGTATAGCATTATGTACATTGACGCATTGTGCGATTACACGATCAGGGTCTATTTGGTAAATTACTATATTTATGTCTATTTAAAGTTTCAGCTACAGATAGTTGCAGGGTCCGGACAGCACCCGAGTAGTCATTGTAAGCCGTCCGGGTGTCCGGCCCTGCTGTCACCTGTCACCTGTCATCGGGGTTGCCCAAATGGCTGCTCCGTAGGTTAGGAACCCTCTCCGCGGGTCAGGTCAGGTCAGAACTTTAAGCTATGAGTATCGTACTACTTAAAGTACATGACTCATTCTATGAATTAATCCATTTAAGGCATTAGGAATGGGAGATTTTTTGATTCTTGAAGAAGTATGGAATTTTTTAGTTCTAAAAGTCTTGAGTTGCATTTCAAGATGTTACTGAA